CTTGCGCGCGCTCAGTCCGGTAGGTTTTACCAGATTGAAGGCTAGACGTGAAGCAAGCAAGCAAACAAGCGGTTGAGGCGGATCACGAGCAGACGACACACCGCTGCTGGTACACGGGACGATCAGGGCAGTCGCCGCAATCGCAACGGAGAAAACGAAAGCCTGGCGTCGCCGGGACGCTAATTTCCTCCCGCGCTACGGGATGGCCGCATGCATGATGCAGCGTGGTCGGCTGCCGCACTCGGACTGGCTTTTCTTCAGCGGGGCTTACCCTCAACCGGTAAGCCCTTGGCATTTTACACACACCTAGTTTTACGATAACAGGAATCGATCAAGAATTCTCTCAGATTTCCAACGGTCGCCGAACTGCGGAAACGATGGATTTCGGCCGTTGGTCGCAGCGGTGGCTGGACCCCATCGAAGTGGAGCGTGGTGTGCTCCGTGCACTAAAACATCTCACAACCTCGAGTCAAGTAGAGCTGGTTCACGGAACCTTTTCCACATACCGACGGCACCAGGCGGTGGCTGCACGAACTAAAAATCGAGGAAGTGACCTACCTGCGCTACCAATCGATAATGGCAGCTACGCTACCAGTTTCTTCGCTCTCTGAGCAGCGGCGCCTGCCCAATGCGACTTGAAAGAGGGGCATCCGTGGCGTCCACCCAAACGTTGTGTTTTCCTTTCCGTCGACGTTCTTTTTTTGTGTAACACAATTATATATATGCTACAGTTACGTGTTCCACTCGCTGATATAAAGCCTCCTTCCGAATTTCCTCGATTTTTCGTTCCGACTTCCGCCGCTTGGCATCGGGCGCTCGCGCATGCGCAGAACGCTTCTCGGAAAAGGTCCATTTGTCACGACAGCAATGAAACGTCCCAGTGGACGACCTGCATAGCGGCCGCAACGAAAAGAAATAAGCCAAACGTATTTTAGCGTGATATAACATGAGAGCGCAACTATCAAATTTGCCGGCGGACGCGAAAATCATCGCTGTGAAAGTGCCCAAGTATTGGTCCAACCTGTCGGGTGGACATAATTACGCAATCATGTGTGTATATAATTTGTTCTTGCTTTGGCTACTGTAGTGGCCAGGAGATTAAAAAAAAAAAAAAAAACTCCCCACTGATGCACGCAGGTGCAAGGTACATTACCCAAAACACGCCAACTGGCAATCGTTACAGCGCTGACGTTCCACGTTGAATGCTACCGTTTTAAGGATAGTCACGGTCTGTTGAAAACAGAATGCATTTACACGTGGCTGACGTCATGCCCTCTCCTACCCTTCTGATTTCCTTGGTACGCACCAACCTTCTACCTCGTTGGTACGCCCGCAATTTCCGAAAAATAGCGTACGCTAAAATAGCGCGCGCAAAGCGCAAAATAGGGTTAGCATTCGGCACATGCACAGTGGCAAAGCTTTAACGTGCGCTATTCTAAAACTCTCTCTCCTCCTCTATGTTTCTCCGACCTCCGTGCACAGGTTTCGGTTTTGGTTTTGAGCAGTTGCGTTTTTTGGCATTATTAAAATATACGTGACTCTGTAGCAAAATATTAATTTGGTAATCTTCTGACGCCATATTAAATCGCCTGTCAAAAAAATTTAAAAAAAATTGGGGTCTCAGTAATAAGGGTGACACATAGAAACAAGAGAGACTTGTAAGAACACACACAATATGGTCGGACACTGGACCAATCCAAGCATTTTGCTGGCAGCCTACACAGATTTCGCTGTCGGCGACGGCAGTCCCAAGGCGGCGGTAGCCTGCTTTTTAGAGATCCATTTCGTTGTGAACATGCAACTCGCCCAATATGCACGACAGTTCGAGGAGAGGAACTGGCGGTCATTCAAGTGGCGCTGGTGTCTGTCCTGTAGAACTACACCAGCAGAACTAAGGAACTACGCAGCTTCTGCAGCCATTGAAAGCAAAAAAGCCAACAGTCCCTGCCGAGGGTGTGAAAATTAAAAATCTTTCCGCTCGACTCCTTTTAGAGGGGACGAAGACTGTCATCGGTTGGGTCCCGGGTCATGCTGGGATTCAGGGTAACGAGGAGGCACATCAGCTCGCTCGCTTTGCCGTTTCATATTTCCGCAAGTAAGCTGCTGACCCCTCACACCAGCAAGACCACGGGTATTCCATCGCTTGTAACCAGGCACAGGAGCCCGTGGAAGAAGATAACTATGACCCCGGTGAAGAAAAACTTCAATATCAAGGAGCACTACAAGCACCGACTGGGGGAGTGCTTGCCCTCAAATCCGAATCCCCTTCCGGGGGGACTCGGAAGAAGAGGACGAGTAATCCTCATTCTCATACAAGCCCATCGCCAACCCCACTCCGGCCCGGTTGCCCGGTGGGGTAAAGGCGAAGGTCAGGCACTTGTACCGAGTGCAACGAAACTGCCAAGGCGGATACTGTCCACCTTCTATGGGACTTGTCAAAAGAAAGCACAAACCCACATACAGAGTGCCCCGAAAAAAAAAGAAAAAAAGTAGAGGGTTTTTTCCACCGCAAAAATAAACTACGCACCGCCGAACGCTCATTCTTTTACCATTTTTTGGACCACCTGAGACTGGGTGGAAGAAACACGACGACGTCTCATTCTCTGCCCGAAGGTAGCGCTAGTGGTCCGAACAAGGAGGTTTGGGTCCGAACCAGATGCCAAAGTTTCAGCGCGAACCGGTATTTTATTTAAAAGTTATAAATGATTTTCTGAAAACGTCAGTGGGAGAATGGTGGCCGACGGAGCCCTCGAATACATAGTGCTCTATGGCGCCAGAAACCTCAAACGGGCGAAAATGGGCCCCATTTTCCCATTGTAGGGTGTTTTCTCTGACGTAATTTTATATGTCTGGCGTGTGCCGAAGGCGAGCATTCCAAGGATTTACATGACCCCTCAAATGCATGGAGCACAGAAGATTATAAGTAGGGGTGTTGCGAACTTTTGTCGAACCGGATTTTTAGGTCGACTTTCGGGGTTCGACTGGGTCGAACCGGTTCGACGAACCTTCCAACTTTTCATCAGATTCGACCGGTTCGACGTTGTGGACAGTGTGGCCAGACCTTGATACAAGCATGTCTAGGTTAGGAGAATTTTTTTTTATGTAAAGGGTTATTTTATTTGATGAACAGTGGCAATTAAAAGAAACCAATTCTAATCACTGAAAAAGTGAATAACTTAATTGTTTGTACTGTATTGACTGAAATGACTAATCAGCGCTGCCCTTAATTCATCCCTTAGCCATCACCATCCCATCCAAAGCCAACTGGCCAGCCTGTCGCGCATGCGCACACGAGTCGAACCTCAATACAAGGTTCGTCGAACATTCCACTAAAAGGTCGAAAAAGTCACCTGGTCGAACTCGAACCTCGGCCGGTTCGCGACACCCCTCTTACCACGCTGACATCTCCTCAACAGGTTGCGATGTAAAGGCCCGTTCAGACTCTTGCGACTGAGTAAGACCCAGAGAGACCACACCGGTTTTTAAGCATCTTGCGATCTCTTAGGACCAGCTCCGCTGCATCGCATCTGGTCCTAAGAAGTCGCAAAAGGCTTAAAAACCGGTCTCGTCTCTCTCGGTCGTACTCGGTTACTAGGGTGTGTACGGGCCTTAATCCTTCAAATAAGTAAATTTGTTTGAAGAAAAAAAAAAAAGAACTAACAACAAAATGTCGGATTGACGTCATGTGAAAACGTGTCGGCAGATAATGAGCGTTCGGCCATGCAATTTTTTTTTTTTTTTTTTTTTTTTTTGCATTTTATATTATTTTGTTGGAGGAGTGAGTGAATGCACCCAGAGTAGCGGGAGTAGCGCAATCTTGAACTCAATCTCTCGGCGACTAGCGGCGAACACCTGGAGGTTCCAACTCCGGTCAGAAATGCATGGGGAACGTGAGAAAGTCGTTGTTTCTTCAATATTGTGGAAATGAACGGAACGGCAATAGTTTTTAACATAATGATGTAACATTTTAGAATAATTTGCGCTAAGAGGCTAAAGCAATTAATTCCTCGCATAAAAACCAACAAGTTTGTCCCTTCGGCACCAAAATATATTTAAATGTATCTTAAATTCATGAATAAAACCAGGAGACATCATACAGTAGGCTCACAATAATTCAAACTCTGAAATATCATACTTCTGGTTAATTCAAACAAATTTCAAAATTTTGGTTGCCCTGCTGTTTTTAATGTATTTATCAGCCGCTTAATTCGAATGGCGTTTTCGTGTGATTCATACTTTTTGTTCTTGCGGCCCCGTGCTTCTTTTTGAGCACCAGTGCACTGCAGAGAGGCAACACCAGCGGAACTTGCTTCCGCGGGAGGTGCTTCTCCGCAGTGCACCACAGCTTGTTGAGAAGCGCACTCAACGGGGCTCAACCAGGGCACACAGGAGTTATGAAAACTGGAGTTAGAAAAAAAAAAAAAATTACCTGAGCGGCATCATGCAGCAGACGACGCGGCCACGTCACGTTGACGTCACACCATTCACGTGACCCACTCCGGCCAACCCAAAAAGCCCATCTCCGCTGCGCACAAAAATCGTCTGCTTTAAGCACCATTGCCTTGGAAATTGCCTTCTCAAAGTTTTCACACGCATCCGATATTATGAAAACTTTGATAAAGTGTTTAGTGCTTTACAAACTCCCCGACAGACTAGTTTCCAAAAGTGTGAACTCTGCGTTTATTTTATAATCAGCCGCAAGGATGATCAGCCATGTGTTTTCCCTGGTTTTCCCATAGAGCGGGCCGCCTCCTGGAACCCTGAGTACCACGTGACTCGCACCGAGCTGCTCTGTCGGCCATGTTGCCGGCAAAACACGGGGATCGAAGAATTATCTCTAGTATTTGGCCAATAAACGTTTTCAATCAATCTCGCTCGCGTCGCAGCCCGCATAATGCCCAATGTAGCCAAGCGGGCCGAGTAAAGTTGAGTCAATCCAAGCGGATGGATCTGCTTCAAGCCTATGGATTCAAGGGCCGGACAAAAGTTCAAACGAAGACAAGCCGAGCCAACAGTGGGCTAGCGCAGCGGTGCCGGCGGGACGGGTGGTAGTTGCATGTGTTGTATCGTCTCTGGTGTTTTAGCTTTTAGCGTGTACTGTAGATGCATGTCGTTCGTAGTCTGGTGTCCAACATGGTAGTGTGAAGTCGCTTCAGAGATCTGCGCATCCGTAGCGGTTCAGATGACGCAGCAGTGACACCACCGATCAGTGAAACCAGTTTCCTCCTGTCGCGGTAGCAGCCGGTTTTTCTACTACTTGTGAGAAAACAAGGAACGTTAGTGGTGTATTCTTTATATTCTTCCCATTGAACTGCACATCGACAAGGCGTTGGAGAGGCGCTATGGACCGAGACAAAACACTTAGCCCGTACGAAGAAGAAAAGGTAACCTGTTTCGAAATCGCACACGGCAAATTTCCCTTTTTTTTTTTTTTTAATGGCAATTATAATCATAATAATAATCTTTATTCGCTCAAGAGAGCAGCGGCACCGCAGGAAGGCCTTTCTTTTTATATATATATATTACCTTGGCAACGAACGACCGTAAGCAAATGGAATACCTGAAGAGCTTGGGAACATTTACAGCAAGAGATACATTAGTTACAGCGCTTCGTAAAATCACCAGTATTTTCTATATGCATTCTTTTATGAAGCATTTTCTACGCTTTCGTTGAGTGGTGCGTATGAGAAACTCATGAAGCATCAAGCAGAAATCAAATTTTATTTGCACGTACTAGATTTTATTAAAAGCTGTCAAGAGAGGGATACTGAACAGTTAAAGCACAGGAGCTGTGCTGAACCGATGGAGGTACGGTACCTCTACTGTACAGACGGTACAGATATTACAAAGCTTGTTGTTGTGGAGTGGTTGATAATGTGGCTTCCTAGAAATGCACTGGTGCAGAAGTGACACAAAAAAGTACCCTTTGGCCAAGTTGGGAGAGTTTCATTTTTGGCATCCACCAAACAGTGTTTATATTCGCTAGTAAATATATTGCGGCTGCATGCGAGTGGGAACTCTGAAAGCATATTACTGTTAATTTTACCAAAAGCATTGAGCTGGTTGGATATGGATATTGACCGAATGAAAAGCCAAATAATAACTGCTTTCCATTCGTGGCAAGTACTTGTAGACACAAAAATCCAGTTCAAAACATCTTCACTGAGGTGTTATTTTGCTCTCCCAGTCCCTTACCTTAATTTCATGTTGAAGTTTCTAGTCCTAATACCAGAAAAATGTTTTTAATGAACTCAAGAGATGGTGAAACAGTACTTTACAGCAGGAAACAGGAGCACCTTTCCCTCCCACCCAAGATAGCCATTTCATCATTTTGGTAATGCATTCCAGTCACGGGCAAAATATGCTCCTAATAGCATGCAGACAGAAGTTTAGCGGTATCAGCAGAGAGTGCTTCATCTAAACTGAGAAGTATTTCGATTGACTGGCAAACGCTTGTGATGCTTTTGAACGAGCCTTCACAGAAGGTGTGCACCATGTACAGGTTGCACAGATGTGCTTTGTTTTCTGGTTTCAGATCATACTGCAGCCTTATCACTACATACTGAAAATCCCGGGGAAGCAGATCCGCACGAAACTTGCACAGGTGATTCCTTTAACCATACATTCTTAAAATATTAAAGGGGTCACTTCGTAAAGAGCTTTTTGTTGAAAAGCCATTTATTAAAGTGCAATGAGCATGAGCCGTGAGTATTGGCTCTCAAAACTTGGTAAGAGTGTCATCATAATTCTTGAGGTATGTTTGTCTAAGAAATTTCTTCTCCTTTCCCAGGCCTTCAACTACTGGTTGAAAATTTCGCCAGAAAAATGTCAAGTCATCGGAGAGATTGTACAGATGCTTCACAACGCTAGTCTTTTGCAAGTATCACCTTCCCTCTGTAAATTCACAATTATCCAAGGCCGACATAAGCACACAGCCTTGGTTGTTAGTCGTCCTTCCACAGAAAGCGATCTACTTCAACATGAAACAGTTTGTGGTCGTGCCACAAAAACCTGTTAGGATGAATTTCAATAGTCTTGGTGGACACCCTGGGGGTCTAGAGCCATTTTCTGTGTATACTTAGTAACAGGTGTGGAAACCCAAGTAAGAGAGGATTTTTTGTTGTTATTTTTATATGGAAATTTTGCAATACAGTAGAACCTCGTTATAAAGAAGTTGAAGGAGCGGTCGTAATTACTTTGTTATAACCATTAGTTTGTTATAGCCAATGTCCATTTCTTCCAACTATTCAAGCAAGGGGAATTATGATTGCTTTGTTATATCCATTTGTTTGTTATATCCCATTTTGTTATAACGAGGTTTTACTGTACAAGTTTTTCAACTGACCCATATCTTTAGTGTTCACTCTATATTAAATAACAGTCTATAATTAGAAAAAAGCAAAAGAAAAAGGAAGATAACAGTACATGGCGGTTTATGAAGGCACGTAAATCCTGTAGCCTGTGTGGTAACCATACATTTTTGCCGTAGACCTGTTGCAAAATAGGCAGTGCTATACACGGTGCCGAAAGGCATTCTGGGAACTTGTTGTATGGAGCTGACTGTAGCAAACAACCTTGAAGGTGTCAAAGGCAAAGCAGAAGAGCAGGTGAGGGCAGTTGCATTACTGCGCTACCCTTCCTTTCTCGCCTTCTTCAATGTAACATGGTAGTAGAATTGGGAGCAAGAAGCAGCATACAGGATGTTCCCATAATTCATTTCATGTTTGGCACACGACCTTGGTATTTTTGCAACTGGTCTATTGAATGTTGCTGAAAAGTAAAAAAAACAGGTTTGTTGCCATTCGCTACCAAAGCCGGCGAATCGCTGGGCGTGCCATCAGAGGCCATATTGCCCAAGTCGGCGTTTTGCCGGGCTGCATGAATTTCTGTTTTAAAGAGCCATTCATAGATGGTGCGCTATGTAGACTTCAGGCAGAGCCATATATTGGGGAGTTTGGCCAGTGGGTGGGGCGACGAAGGTGCCGGAGAGGAGAAAAGTGAATGAAATGGAGGAGAGCGCCGAAGGAGCGAGAGAGAAAGAAGGGAGCAGAAAAGAGACGACCGCCATTTTTTCGCAGCGCTGTCGGAGACTGGTCGGAGAAGAGCACTGCTGAGGCTATGCGTCGTCTGCTATGAGGCCGACTTCTTTTTCGCCTGAATAAAAGTTTGTGGCCATACACCGAAAAATCTTCATTTATTAGCTTTTTAACCCACCGAAGAATAACAGTATGTCATTTTCTTGCCAGAGCCAGCGATATAAAAGGAAATAATCGAGATTTAGATGCCGATCTCACGCATTCCGCCGGGAGAATGAACGGAAAATGGCGGCCCTCCCCACTCAGCTGGGAGCAGCCGGGAGTTAACGCGCGTGCACTCATGCCTCTCGCTCTGCGCAGCATGCTGATTGGCTCACTCGGGAGGAGAGCATTACGGCGGCGAGATCATAGACTGGACCAAACTCTCCCCATATACGGCTCTGACTTCAGGTAGTGTAGTTAGATACATTAACAACAGATGGCGAGGGTCGTTTTGTTCGCTGTGTTTGTTCGAGCTGGTTCTTTTTCGTGTCTTTCCTGCTCCATCGCTGCCTGCTTGGAGAAGATGGCGGCATCCAGTGTACGGTGTGGCCTTTCTGACGATAAAATTATAGATATCCTCTTCGACAATGATAATGACGGGACTTCTGGTGAGGATAGTGAGTTCTCGGAGCCTTCTGTCGACGATGGGAGCGATTCCGACAGCAGTTCTGAGTCCAAATCACGACAAGAGCGCACAATTTGTGGGACGCCTAAGCAACCGAGGATGGAGTGCTTCAAGACCTTTCATACGAGGAAGAATCTGTGAGGGCCTAGTGATTTATAGACTTGAATGAACCACTTAAGCATGTAAATAAACATGTTTTCTTGTTTTCTGCACTGAGGTTTACTGTAAAAGCTTATTATACAAGCAAAACAGTTACGCCTAGTGTGGCCCCGTTATAGGGGAAAAACATGCGGTACGGCCGGCCTGCAGCTCATGACGCGCATGGTAGCGAATGGGTTAAAACTGCATTTGTATACTTTTCAAGTTCCTTTCGCACGAAACTGATTTCGATGAGTGTGGCGGTAAATTTGCTAAGAAAACAAAGGCGATAAACAGAAAGGAACAAAAGCCTGTACATGTGTTTTCTTTTTTTTTAAATATTTATTTGCTTTGCTGTTTTGATGGTGGCAGGTGTGGTCAGTCACATTGTCAACACCACTTTATTTCCTTCTTAAACTAATTTGTGTGTATCCGCATTTGGCACAATGGCTAGCTATACTTTGGGACAACTTTTTAAGGCAGTGCAGCTAAAGCTATGGGTGCCCATGCACCTACACACCAATATAAGCTATATGGGTGCACACTTAACTTCTCGTGAATTGCCACATAAAGTTGCCTCCCCAAAAGAGTAGTCTCTAAAGGTATAAAGCATTTAAACTAAGAGGCCGTTGACTCGTAATTTTTCGAACTGCCACATGCGAGCGAAATTGCCTGGCGACAGGCGTCAACAAACTTGCCGGCTAATTAATCATGAGGCAGTTTGTGATACAAGGTAAACAAAAAGAAAGAAGACACGTGGTTGAACCCCGTACAGGCCCAAACATAAGTGAAGCTGAATAAGTGCGAACCAACGCGTTTTTTGACAACCTTGTGAAAGAATGTCCCGTTACGTTTTTGTTTTCCACCAAAAAGGGAATGCAGATGCAGATGCTTCAACAACTGTGTCTAGGTGCTTGGTCAGCATTTAAACATAACAACTCCAGACAAAGTAACATCTTCTATTTCAGAATCGACGACATTGAGGACAATTCGTCGCTTCGGAGGGGGGTGCCCGTTGCCCACAACATCTTTGGAGTGGCAAGCACCATTAACTCTGCAAACTATGTGTACTTTTTGGGCCTTGAGAAGTGCCTCGAACTTGACAACCCACGAGCAACTGCTGTCTTTACCGGTAAGATTGTTAGGATGAGCCCAGTTGTGGTGCTTGGGACCTGCCTCCCTCTGGTGCGCTCGCTCGAGGAGTGAAAACGGCTCTAGATGACAGAGAAGTGGGAGGAGTGAACAAACCAAATGGGGACTCCTTGCCCAGGTTTATGGATGAAAAAGATGTGTGGGAAGACACAGGCACATTTTTACATCTTGCAGTTTCTAATCGTTCAAGTCCAATTCACAGGGATGTGTCATGACGTGCTTCTGATGCGAGCCTGTCTGAACAGTCCTGTTGATACTTTTTTCGGCATTATGTATTTTCACGTTTCTATGGGATGTGTGCTGCCCTCTTGGAGCAGCTGATGCGTCACACTTCAACGATCAGTGCCACTGCTTAAAATGGCGCTAGTACAATTGAGTTCAAGGTTGGGTGCCCTAAAATCACTTTGATGCAGCCCAGTATAGCAGTAAGAAATGTGCACTGTCATTATCTTGGGGTGGGGGGGGAACCCCAATATGGTGTTCAGCCGGTGGATGTCATGCGTGTCAGTAGCAACACGGTCTTCACGTGTACAAGCTCCTGCGACTACTCCTGGTCTTTGCACTCTGTTAGCTTGTTGTTTAACTTAATCTTCCCTTCCCTAGTAAGATGCAGTATTTCCTAACATGCTAGGCAGTAATGTATCCACCGCAACACCCTTCTCCCTCCCGCCCCCCCCCCCACTCCCGTGGCCTGCTGCGGCACCCCCATGAGCGCTGCACCCAGGGCAGTCCACCCCCTGAGTGACGCCACTGATGCTAGGTCTCTACCAAATTTTTTGATCACCTAGAGCAAATCTTGGAGCTTCATCGAGGCCAGGGGATGGAAATCTACTGGAGGGACAACTACATTTGTCCAACGGAAAGTGACTACTCCCGCATGGTCAAGAGGAGTAAGTTGCTGCTTTTGTAGCTAAAGGCACCGACTGACCTTGTTTCACCATGGCTGAGTGCTCGAGCCTAAATCCCTCATGTGCTAAATAAAGACTTCATCTCTTTGCAGAAACTGGAGGCCTCTTTGGGTTGGCGGTGGGACTAATGCAGCTCTTCAGTGAGAACAAAGGGTAAAAAAGCTGCACGTTGTCCTCATTTAGTTTCTACAAAACATGGCGGAAAATCATTCACAGTGGTTAAATTTCTGCAGCAATTTCACCAAGCTTATTGGTACGCTTGGTCTCTACTTTCAAATCCGGGACGACTATGCAAACCTGATGCTGAAAGAGGTTGGTAGACGTTACAGCAAGTTACAGATCTTGCTGCAGTGTTGTGGACGTTTCAAATGCAGTAAGGTTACCTAACCCATCTTTTGTTCATTGCAGTACACAGACAACAAAAGCTTTGCGGAAGATTTGACAGAGGGCAAGTTTTCATTCCCGATCATCCACGCCATTCAGCAGCATCCAGAAGACCCTAGGATTATGAGTATCCTTGCTTTACAAAATGCACGTTCCATGGATCGAAATACAATATAGTTTATGAAATCATAATGCATTGGCTATAATGCTCAGAGAGGCAATTTCCCCCCCAAAAGAATGCATATAGGGAACTTGGTGTGACATGTGTTATTACTGGGTAGTCATAGCTGGGATTTTCTCATTAAACATCCAAATCATTGCATAATCTCACTTGTATATTGCAGCGATAACTTGAGTCATAAAGCTCTCTAAATATGATGCAATAAAAAACAAGAAAAAAAAAAACAATTTTCACTTAGCATGTACAATATGCATATTCTATGAGGTAGCAGAAAAAAAAAAATTGCATCGATCGTCGAATGCTATCTCAACATGAATCAATCGACCCCTTCTTCCTTCATTCAGTATCAAGACATTGTCAAAAAGAGAACCACAGATCTTGAAATCAAAAAGTATGCAGTGGATGTCTTGGACAAGTTGGGCTCTTTCACTTACACCAAGCAAGTTATGCAAAAGCTGGATGCAGAGTAAGTCCTCTTCGCTGATGCTTCGAAAACATTCCACATTTCATTTCATGCCTCGATGGCACGAATATTGTCACGCGTAGCATCTCTGAAAGAAAGCCTTGGAAGGCCGGTGCTCCAGTGGGAATGGAACGCAAAGTTCGCATCTCTTGCAGTCGCGCGCCCCAGCTTTGACCCTGCTATTTTACAGCTCCCCACTTCCTCTTTAGTGACCTCCTCATTGATCAGTAAAGTGCTCATACATTTTACTGAAACAGCAGATGGACCCAGAGCCAGTTGGCTAGTTTGGGTTTATTAAAATAAGGCATCTAAGGCATAGAATGAGCAATGCAGGTTATTAACAAACTATACGAAAATACTGCAAAACAAAAAAATATACAGCAAGTCTTATGCGGAGCGCAAGTTCGTCTGCTTCTTGCTTAGGGGTTGCAATGATGTCATGCCAAGCTCTTATTGGCTGATCAAAAATAAAAAAATAGTGGATATACCTCAAAGCGCCTAGCATTGAGGTCTACCCACGATCCTTTCAATCAAAGCCAATGGGAGTACAGCATCATTCTGACGTCGCCGCAAGTCCTGCGCGAAAAGCAGACGACTTGCTCTCCGCGTAGAATCAGGAGCAATACTAATTTATAAGGACTTGACAGGGTATTTATGCTTGCCAAGGCTTTTATTTGTACATGACATATGAGAGCCCAACTACCCAGAACACAAATTGCAGCGAAATTTGTTCTCTTTTCACCCGAAAACTCGGAAAACTGCCCGGTTTGAGTCTCGCTCACTCTCTTCTCCGTGGTCATGTGCCGTTTTCTATAATTTAGACACGGCCACCAAAAATAATCAGTCTTCAGTGATCGAAGGCACACACTCCATACTATAAATCAACAAAAAATATGATACCCATTTTTTATGGTTCCTAAAAAACTGCAAATACAAGAAATAGAAAAAAAAAAAAGTTTCATAGCGGCATGATTTTTGGTAACTTTCTCCTCCTCTATCTTTTTTCCTCCCCAGTCCAGTTTCGACTTCAGGAAGTTGCATTTTTTTACTTTATTAAGATATATATGTGACATTGTAGCAAAATATTGACTGGGTAATCTTCTGGCACCATAATAAATCGCCTGGCAAAAAATAAAAAATAAAATTTGGGATGGGTGGGTGTCAGTGTTCTTTTATTTAAACCAAAGGGTTTTGAGAGTGCAGGTGTTCTAAGAAAGCAAAACATAGTAAGTAGCAAGACACATGCTTGGGAGTGTTTGGCTTATAGCTATGCATCACTATACTCCGTTTCGCAATAACTTGGCGAACTGTGGAGGCTACGGCCCCGCGACCCAATAAGAGCGTCAAAGCGTGGCACATGACCCGACGTAACAGGAGCATTTGTGTCGCCATGCCAAATGCGAGGCCTCAAAGAACCGGCTGTCGTCTGCTAGCCAAGAGTCGTCTGCTGCGAAACCAACCAACTTAGGATGAACGTCCACCACAGCAACATATCCATCCGCTTGAACAGCGAGCCCTTCGGGAACAGTTCATGAGACAACCATACATTCAATTTAGCCGTAAATCTATGACGGGTGCTAATGCCAGGGCACAGTTTGATGTTTTGAGCAGAAATAGCGGCTGCGATCGCCAACAACCACTATGCTACAAGGCGAAAAAAAACAGAAAAAAAACGAGCGGACACGGACGTGGCGACACGCTTTTTCTTTAGCTATAATTGAAACTCATAAATCTGTGATTATTTAATCTTTATTTTTTATATCTTCTCGTTATAGATGGAACTGCGCAAGTTCAAATGCCTTTAAAAGGAAAAGAATCCTAGAACTATTTTTTGTCACGGACTGTGCTATGGCGGTAACGAGTCCCCGGTGGCCTCAACCATGGAGTGTTATCATGTGCCTTGCTCCAGCGCCCCTATTGGGTCGCAGGGGCCGCAACCTCCACAGTTCGCCAAGTTATCATGAAACGGAGTCTAGGTGACTCGGACCCGCTAGAATAATGCTTACACCGAAAAAAAAAAAAGAAAAGCTTTATTTGGGGACAAGGATGGTCGATAAAATTTGGGAACTCGGGCAACGCACAATGGTAATTGAAGGATCCAGTTAGAGAATGCATGAATTATGTTATACAAGTCATCGGGACACCTGTGCTTCGCACGAAGCTTAACAACCGATCCAAGGAGTAGCTTGGCACAGGGTATGCAAAGCGTGGGTGCACCAGTGACTCGAGGTCACATCACAATGTAACTTAGTCTAGTGCTGGTGTGTCAATGGCGCTTAAAGCTGTAGTGCCGAATTTGTCTCATGACCTACGGGAGGCCAGCGTGGGTACAGCCGGCACACCAGTGTTGCGTCGGCGTTCGCTATAGTGCGGAACCTGAAAAATGATGAGTCAGCGAGACGCATACAGAAGTTGCCGAGATTCAGCTGGGTTATGTCGCTCCCGTGTTCATGCGTTTGACGTTTTTTTTTTAATAAATGCGTTTTTGGTGTGTCTGTAGTCATATAAAATATAGGTTTTGTGGATTCTGCCACCTTTATTAATGAAGATGTGCCGAGATGGCTTGTTGAGTCTCAAATATATTTAGAGTTTTTTGTCATTGGTGCAAGTAACCGAGAAAAAGGGAGCAAGGAAAACCTAATTGACCTTCTTGTCTCTCTTGAGGAAGAAAGCCAGATTTCGAGTGGCAAATATTTTTTTCTCGATGGTTGAATCCTCATTTGTCATGTTTCGGTAGAAATATAGCAGCGTAAAAGATGCCTTGGCTGTGTTTCTTTAAGCTGGTGTTTCGGATTACAAGTGCCACACGGGCAAGAGAGAAACGCTCCGGAACAGAGTTTGACTGTTGGCAATCCTCGCAGTCTGTTTCAAAAAGGTACCACGAAATCATGTCCTGAACTGCAGCTAAGGTTCTTGCCGAATAGACTCCTATTTCGCTGGCTCTCCCTCACCCGAGGGTTTTGCCAGAAATATTCCTTTCTTTGACGAGATGTGCGGTAGTTGAAGGTTTTGCCCGTGTTTCACCGAAGATGTCTGTTGTTGCTAGCCCTTGCATTAAGTAAGCTTTGTGTCGTTGCTTGCAAGACTTGAGCAGCTTGCTTGTACTTCGTTTGCAGAGCACGCAAAGAGGCTGAAGAGCTGGGCGGCAACCCTTACATTGTGCAGATACTGGACGAGCTGAAGACATGGTGAAGAGGACGGAGTTTACTAACGAACAGTCATGTACATTGTTTATGTATTTTATACAGACAGAACCAAGTATGTGTTTGTAGCGTTGTCCTGGCATTGAAAGTTCAGTTCAATTTTTACGTGCGAAGTACTAGTCTAACAAAGTTGAAGGGTAGGTTTCAACTGCATTTTATGTCCTGGATATACAAAACTTAAAGCCAAGATGTGCTGATCCTTTTTTTTTTTTTTTTGGAGGAAATGAAAGAGGTTTATTTGCGAAAACCAGTGATCACTAAATGCATTATCAAAATACGAGGAGTAGAGTATGCATAACAATGTAATGTCCCCTGGTGATAGTTTTTTTAAATATAAAACCTACAAGGCACAGTGTAAAACTGCAAATAAATGCACTGTTATCAATCGTAGCAGAGAACAAAGAAACCGTAAACTATACGCTTCCGAGCTACCTCATATTTGTACACCACAAAAGATTCTGAGCAAGCCAGACTTCATAAATGCTATATGTATAAAAATAAGTAAAAGAAAAAAAAGATAAAGGGGGTGTGGACATGTACAAACCTTTTTGTAAAATACTTGAATCGCTCCTGCAAAAGCTACGCATCACACAGAAAATAAATTGTTGCTGTAGTGGTATGTGCCGAAAGGTCCATTAGGGAAAATGATTAGCGTTCAGTATAATTGGGTAATTAATTACTTTTTAGTAATTACAATGTTAATTTTAAAGACATGGTTTCAGTTAGAAACTTGCTGGGCATATTGGAAAACTGCTAAATTCACCCTTATCACAATGATATAGGGCACGCTCAGCATTTTACGGCATTCCGAAAAAATTCCTAATTTGGATGCATTTCTAGGTTTCAGTTTTTTTACTGATGCGCTTCTCCATGCCAGCAATCCTACTGCCCGTGGCCAAAACGTGCAACGTATGTGCGCCACCACGCATGGCACGTAGAAGGGGCTGGGTAAGAAAGTCTCCGAACTGCCACGAGCTTTGGCTATGCACCTTTACGTACGATGCGTGGCAGCACACGCACATTGCGCATTTTGGCCACAGTGGGCGGGACTGCTGATAAAAAAAACGAAACCTAGAAACTCTTTCAAATTTAGCAATTCTTTGGAACGCCATAAAATGCTGCGCATGCCTTATATCATTGTATGGGTGTATTTATTAGTTTCCATCAAGTTCTTAACCTTTAAAGTTAAGTTAATGTTTAAAAATTTAATTATTAAAAAGTATGTGATTAATAGTACAAAGGTGCAGGTTCACTGGACAGAATAAACAATAATATTCCCTGGAGAAGGGGAACAAGAGGAACAAAGGACAAAAACAAATCTCCGAACACAACTAGGAAACTGGTGTGCGCTGAAAAAATCTGCCTGGTCCTTGTATCGAACCAGGGACGTCTTCATTTCCAGTGGAGTACTCTACCAACCGACTTAAACAGGAGTTAGACGTCAGTAGAGCAGACAGATTTTATCAGGTACCACCAGTCTAACACCAACAAAGGTGAATGGCCTATATTTTTAAGTTTATGATATTAGTGCAAAGGTGTGGACGAGCTGAACAGAATAAACAATAATAATCCCTGGAGAGGTAGAACAAGAGGGACAAAGGACAAGCACAAACCTCCAAACTCAACTAAGGTAACTGGTGCGCGCTGAAAAAGTCAGCCGGGTCCTGGTATCGAACCAGGGACCTCTCCATTTCCATTGGAACACTTTACCAACCGAGCTAACCAGGAGTTAGACGTCAATAGAGCAAATGGGTTTTATCAGCTGCCTGCACGGCCTGCATTTTTAAGGTTATCATCTGTCCAGCTTGCCTGCTCTTTGCATTAATATCATAACCTTAAAAATGCAGGCCGTTCACCCTTGTTGCTGTTAAACTGGTGGCAGCTGATAAAACCCGTTTGCTCTACCAATCAGGGGCGTAGCCCAAAATCCAGCCGACCCTATAATATACACATGCATTTTGACCCCCCCTGCCCCTCTCTACACCCAAAGTCATAAACATCCCAGCCACCTCAGCCCCTTCCCCCCCCCCCGGAAAAAATTCCTGGCTACGCCACTGCTATTGACGTCTAACCCCTGGCTAGCTCAGTTGGTAGAGCACTGCACTGGAAATGGAGAGGTCCCTGGTCCTATACCAGGACCAGGCGGATTTTTTCTGCATGCACCAGTTACCTAGCTGTGTCTGACCTTTGTCCCTCTTCTCCAGGGATTATTGCTTACTTAATTACCCAATTATACTCAAGGCTAATCATTTTCCTTAATGGGCCCTTTGGTGCAGACCACTATGCCATCCACCTTTGTTTCTGTGTGATGCGTAGTTTTTGCAGGAGTAATTTGGCCCACATTTCCAAAAGCACCCTGTATATAAATGCTACACACACCATGTATGTGGATGATTCACTCATTACAGCTAGTATGTTCCTTCACACTATCCAAATGTTTGCAAACCTACAACTTGGTATGCAAGTGTTTCCTGCTTCGGAAGGGTAGATAGGCAATAAACACTCAGTTTACGGTTCCCAGGACTATGGAACTTGAAATTTAGCTTTGAATTTCTAATTTAGACAGATTTCAATAACCAACACACACTCCCTGAAGTACACAAAGACGTAGCAGGGAAAAGCTTGGTGAAATCAATTATATTCTATGTATATGATAACTTGCTGCCATTAAATATGTTGATGCAACATGTGCAACTTCATTCCCCGGCATTTCTTGCTTTCGAAGGCTACACTACTATCGTGGAATACCGTGCATCCTCTCATTCCGCACTAAGCGCCCACCCCCAAAATTTTAAACATCAAAAAGAATATGCACAGTACATATATCTGTAAAATCGGTGACCTCGCATGCACCCATCCTCTATTTTTTCGCGATTATCTTCAAATTTTGAGTGGGCGCTTGCTCGGTATTGTTTGGTACAACCTAAATGCACATTGTGAACACTGCCAACCTTCGCTAAATCACAGACCCGAATGCCAAACACAATAATGTGTTTAAGATATTCGCACCCTCTAAACTCTCTTAACTGAAGTAAGGCACGTGGGGAATACTACATCTAAATGCCTGCCATGTTAGCGAGGTATCGCAATTTTCTTTTTTTAAGTGCCATCAGCAGATAACAAATTGTTTTTTGGTCCTCATTTCATTAACATGGAATGATGACCTGGCCTGTTTCTTTTCAGTTGTGCTAGCCTTAAATTGAACATGCACAGCATCAGCCTTGCCTACTAATGGGCAAGAGGTCAGTGCTTCTGTAGCATAACGTCTTCATTTCCTTCGTTCTGATAGTAAACGACGCTGAATGCAGGGTTGTCAGCATCGTTGCCTTCCGTGTCCCTTAGAATCGGACGATCTCTTCGGTGTAACCGGTAGCTGAAAGGCATAAAAGTAGCAATTAACAACTTCATTCTTCTCTGCTCATTCAACCAAATAGAATGCTAAACGAAAGCTGAGACAGGCTTCTAAAATATTCATGTTGTAAAAAAAAGAAGAAAAAAAACACTTTTTTTTTAACATCTATTATTTAAATTGACGCCTTTAGCAATTACGGAGATCTCTGTCAATGCTCCGAATGCACAATGCCACCCACTATAGTCGCAGACAAGATGAGAATGGTAGGGCTCTCTTTTGGATCTTCCAGCATGCACTCACTGCCTTCCATTGTGCTTTGGATGTGCTTGCACAATCGAAGCGTTATCTTAGGTAGGATGCTCGCGCTAAAAGCGAGACGATCGACAGGCCTCCTTGCTGTTCTCATCCTGTCGGCGACTATAACAACAGGCACAACATTTGTTTTCAAGAACATGTTTCCTGCATGCAAATTTTCTTTGCTTAGATAGTCTGCACCTGGTGCATAATCTGTATTATACATGATTAGGGGAAAAAACAGCGCTATAAGACAAGGACAAGGAGAAGAAACATACACGACAGGACAGGCGCCGACTCGCAACTATATGATTTATTAGAAGAAAACAAAGACAAAAACGCGGCATCCTTTACCTTCCTACTTGGAAATTCTGACTTCTGATAATGCCACTGATGCGTGGCTCACACAGACACTTCCCTTGCTGACAATGTGGTAGGCTTCCATCACTTCCCTAGCTGTCCTGTTCTTGTGCCTACCTAAAATTCTGGTGTCGTTAAAGGAGGTTCACACCAGCACCCTTACAGTGAATTAGGAAATATCTCCCAACTGTTGCTTTCAAGGACCAAGAGTGTTCTCTGAACACTCTTGGTCTTTAAAAGCAAATTCTTTGAAAGCAAAGCCTTTGAAACCAAGAGCAGGGGGGGAAGCGACTGTGTGAGCCACGCATCAGTAGCATTATCAGAAAAAGAGTTGAAATTTCTAAGGAGGGCGGCGAAAGTTCCGCACGTGCCACCGTGAACTGGGGGACTTAGTATCGTGGGGGCTGTGTGCCGAACGCATGTGTGAAAACCACTGTGTTTCTGTCTTGCTCTTCTTCTAGTAAATCATATAGTTGCAAGCCAGTGCGTCCTATATGTTTGTTCTCCTTGTCCTTGTCTTAGAGCACTATTTTTCCCTTAACCATGTACAACTACCAACTAGCTCAAGTCTCTGCCTTATTACAGCATAGCCTGTACCTAGTTTGCACGTAAAAATTTGGTTCGCAAATAAGTTTGTATTTAAAAAAGTCAAATCTGGGGGTTTTACGTGCCAAATCAATGACGGGCAACTGGCGCACCCCAGCGGAGGGCTGAGGATTAATTTGGACCACCTGGGGTAGGTTTGTATTTAAATCATCATTCACATACTCCGTCATTCACAAAATCCGTCACATCTTATTTCGATAAATGATCTAGAAAAACATCCTTGTCCGCACCTGTAGATTGTCAACACCGCATATAATTTAGACATGTACATAGTTTGCGAACAATTGGCCGAAAAATATGGTATATAGCAAATTCTTTCCTGTCTTGTTTACAGTTTAGCATTTCACAGACCCCTAGAACTTCCCTTGTTGTAACTGAAAAGTCATTTAATCACCATTTTGATTAAACCAGCTTAAAACATATACAGACGGTGCCACCCTGGTGACCGACTCACTCACCGGACGTTGTAGAACCACAGGCCCATGCCCACCAACCCTATGAGAAGCACAACCACGATGATGACAGTCGCGATGATGGCACTCTTGCTGTGGCGACGTCGTCCCTGCTTTTCCGAAGTGGACGTGGACATGTCCCTCGTTGTCGGTGTGTTTGTCGCAAGAGGTCCGTCCTTCGTGACAAACTCGGTCGACCGAAAAGAGGTAGTCACATTTGCCTGCGCACTGGTCTCGTCGTCTGGGTCGGTAATGTTTGCGACGTTTGAAACTTTTGCCGTGGTTCTAGATTCTGCCGTGGTCCTAGTGTTGTTCAGAACGTCCATTGCAGTCGATTGCGAGTTTTGTGTGAGAGTTGCGTTCGAAGCAACTTGAGGCTCTGGAGAAGTGCTCCCAGGCACAGTTTTGGGCGAAGTTACTCGAGGCTCTGGAGACGCGTTCGAAGACACGGTTATGGGTGAAGTGACTTTGGGCTCTTGAGATGTGTTCCCAAACACAGTTATGGGTGAAGTGACTTCGGGCTCTTGAGAGGTGTTTGCGAGCAAAGTTATGGGCGAAGTGACTTCAGGCTCTTGAGATATGTTCACAAGTACAGTTATGGGCGAAGTGACTCGAGGCTCTTGAAATGTGTTTGCAGACACAGTTGGCTTATGGCTTGCAGGTTGCGAAGCTGCTTCACTTGAAACGGTGCTCGAGCCGAGTATCTCGGAAGTCGTCCCACTTGCCGTCGTACTTGCGGATGAATTTTCGTGAGAGGAATTAGTATAGGCATTTGCAATGCTGGTCACAGACACCGTTGAACTTCCATTCAAGTCATGTTGCGAGGACACGTCTACGCTCTTGTCACCGACATCTGTTGTTTCAACATGGACTGTGACCCCTGCAAGTCAATCATTCACTACATTGGGCTGTTTCAACCTTAAAGGGATACTACAACGAAATTTTGGCACTTATTTTACAGTCTATATGTGTTCAAAGGAGCAGTATTACATCGAACACACCAATATCTTGTTAAAAAAGTCACGAAAAGGAATTTAGAACAAATTAAACAATTAGCAAAGAGCACCTGGTGGATGTCGCTAACGCCTCGTTTGTAGTGCCCGTCTAGGAACCTTGACAGCTACTGACGGTGAGTGTCTCGCCTCCGGCCACGACGAGAGAAGAGGGGAAGGAGGAACTCCCGTCTTCCCGAGAATCCCTTTTGTGTGTTCCAGAAGTAGCTATTGTCCCCCTATAGGATTATAAAAGATAACCCCTCACTCAATATTCGTACAAAAGCAGCCGCTTCGGTGGCTGGAACGACTAGGCCATACCCTCGACGTCAGCCTTGCCGTGGCTTTGCTTGTCCCGAGACAACCTACGTCACGATTGCGTCGGATGTCACGTGCTCTAAGCAGGGCCTTCTCCGAGCGCTTGCTAGAGTGGGCCGTTCATAACAAAAAATACAGTCACCAGGCTCAAAACACAAACGTGTGATTGTCATTTACGGATATTGTGGATAATATTCAACCTATTTTTGAACACGACGAATATATTTCAAATTTCGTTGAAGTATCCCTTTAAAGGGGCACTGAAGTGCTTTCTGCGGTGCTCGTTTTATTATCATAACAGAATCTACGAGCTCTGATAATCCTAAAAATCCCGAAATTACGCACATGCGCAGCCGATTTGCATACTAAAAAAGAGATGAATGATACTGACAATTTCCGTTGACACAGAACAACAGAAAGAAGGTGCTGGGTTCCCATGTGGATGAGCGGAACTGGTCGTTCGCTTGTCCATGCAAGCACCCTTCGCTCACGAGTGGCCGGCACTCGCGAGCAAAGGGTGTCCGTCGTTCGACCCCATTCAGCAAAGTTCAGAGCGCCCTCTGTCGTTCTACGCCGTCGGCAAGTGCGAGGAACTTTGATCACCTTTTTAATATGCAAATTGGCCGTGCATGAATGTAATTTTGTGGTTTCTTAAGATGCTTAGAGCTCGTAGATCGAGTTATGACCATAAAACAAGGATTTCAAAAAGCAGTTTATTGCCTCTTTAAAGGGGGACTAAAGTACCCTTTCCGGCGATTTTTTGTCCGGCTGTACAAGTCCCTTAACTATTGTGAAAAGAAAAAAATTTAGCGGATGTTGAATTTCTTTTTGTGTTACTGACTACTGACACTGAAGTGCGATGACAGAAATGGTACCAAGTGGGCAGTAAACCATGTTCCCAGCTGAATACAAGATGCTTGATGGTAGCAAAAGAATGCTTGAAGGCTCATTCACTGAGAAGCACGAAAAAAAGGCTCAACTTTACTGTGTTTAAGATTAGGTGCACAGCCTGAAAGTCTGTACGATTTGTGATGTCACACCACTGGAGAGCGCGCGGAAATTTAAATGTTGGTTTCGGCATCATCTTCATTTACGGTTTTCTCAATAGCTATTTTGAGTTTCCAAACAATAAGTAGCATACCATGAAGACTAATTAATGTCCAGGCATTCAGAAAATGAAATTTGTTGGGGCGGTAGCTCAAGAAACGGCCGTAGTACTCCTTTAAACGACCGACAACACTAGGCCCGGAGTTAGTTTGTGATTGTACTAAAGTGCCAATAGACAGTGAAGCTGGCAGTAATGACCTAGCATCAACATTTTTACAGTTAGAATTGCTTATGCTAATAAAGAATGTCGAAGTACTTACCCGAAAGAATCAGAATTAGCTGAACATACGCAACAAGCATTTCCTTTCAAGCAGCAAACTCTATTTGGGAACAAACGGCTATCTGGCTATCTTCGCCCCACAATCAAGAGGAAGCTTATCTTGCTTGCATAGCTGTAAAAGTGGACTTTGGCGCTGATGCAAGCAGTCCAAACAAGCATGCAACCCAAGCAGGTGACAGTTTCCACTTGCATGAGTAGGTGCAAACTTCGAACAGGAAACCACATTTTTCGTAAGAAACCCTGTTCTCCTAATTAACTATGTCAACTACACCACTGGAAATAAATGGTTAGGTTTTTGTTTCAAGCATTTTATCTAAATTCTATTAGACACAAGGTCAACTTTTTTTTTTCTGCAGACAATATAATCAAGATTATATATTAAGCCAGTTGCCTGTCCTGGAAAATTTTATTACCATATTGTTACTTCAGGACCATGTTGGGGTAACACTAATCAGTTTATCAAGGCATACTTCTATCAAATGTCTAACTTTCCACGAAGTTCTGAAAACACCTTTGAACAAATTAATGATTACCGTAAAGTTGTGCCACCAATACACTAACTCGGGACTAAACTACAAATGTCATTGGACATTGCAATTCCAGTCAAATGTATATTGCAGCTTATTTTTGCAGGCAGTTTCCACCAGCATCAATAGGTGGTCGCATCTTTCAGTCTTGCAATCTTTTACTCATCTCTATCACATTGACCGGAGTCTCCAACGAATGCATTTCCTAAATTTACAAATTAATGATTCACAATGTACACAGGCAAAGCACCTACCTTGAGCCTTAACAAATCCCAAGTCCAACTGTCGCGCAGAGCAGGTGCGGAATGATCTGAACGAAGGACCGCCGTCCCGCTAACGAGGAAGGAACTCCTTGCTCCAGTGAACCGTATCGGGAGGGCACCAAGTAGACGACAATGGACTCCTAGCAAGGAGGTTCACTACACACGCCCAGACCTTACTCTTCCCAGAGCAACGACCTACTCGGCTTTCACATTAACAGTGTCGCATAGACCAGAGCTCCCAAGCATGCTAAGGGCCAAATAAGTACAGGGAGTTTCCAGAACCACGGGCGAAATTGCTCTTGCAAGAACTGTGCATTGCACAGAAAAGAGGTACATGCCGTAGTCGTCCGTGTCAAAGGGCCCATTAAAGGGCAACTCCGCTTCATTTTTGATATTTAGAAAACTATGCAGCCCTCTTCAGTATCATATGCATGCCTTGCACGTGACGTCATATGGCACCGTACCAGCCGCCACTGCTCCATACCAGGTTCCTGTACAGAGCCTTCTGCGGCATACATTTGGCACCATCGAATCTGCTCTTCTCAGCAAGCCTTGACCAGAAAAACAATTTCAATGGTGTCAAATGTAGGCTGTAGAATTTACGGGCACAGGAGAACAGAACGGAGCAATGGCAGCTGATGCGACTCCAATGCAAGATCTCAACCTTGCACTTGAGAAGCCAGAACATTGTGTAGTGTAAAGTAGGAAGCTCGTGTTAGAGGCGGGACAAGTGAAGCTCCTCCTTGCCCTACTTTTGTCAATGACCGTGGGTAACAAAAGTGTCCATGAACGCTGTACCACAACAGGCAGTGAAGCGAGAGAGGAGCGTTGCTGTGAGGCCAGATGCCAAACGAAAGGTTTATTCTGGTGCCTTTACAGACGCCTGCCCCGACGACCGCCTTTCCTCCGAGTGCTGTCTGATGGGATTGGCGTCACATCCTCTGCAAACAAGCAACGACGGCCATGTTAGGGGTGCGGGGAAGCAAACCAACACTGAAACGCTTATTTTTTTTTTTTCGAATGGCGACGTCGATTTGTAGACAGCAAAAAAAGAAGTTTGTCACAGCCATTTTATGAGCAATGCCACAGCTAAGAAGCTTCTCAAGAATTCTAAACTTCAGCAGCACTGCTGGTGTCTGCTGTGCTACACAGTAAAAACACAAAACCTGCACCTTTTTGTCCGGACAGGTTATTGATGAATGTTAGATATTACTATAATGAAGTAGAGAGCCGGGCTAGTTGGTAGAAGTTTAACATGGTGTAGGTGCAACAGCACGTAAAAATTAAGACCAAGGGAAGGATCAGCACTCGCCCGGTGTTGTTTGTTTCTTCCCTTAGTCTTTGTTTTTATGTGCTGTTACACCTACACCGTGTTAGATAATTACTGCTCAAGTTTGCACATACTGTAAAAGCCTTAATGTTTGCAAGCCCTTAATTTTTGCGAATTTAAAAATTTGCAAAATTTAAGGACGTGCAAAAATTTCGGTTATGAAGAGTTTTAATGCAGGCGTCTGGAATTCGCGAAATTTACTGGCCACAATTATATACTCTGTGATCGATTCGCAAAATATAGGGGCTGCGAAAATTGTTTTACAGTAGTATGAGCACACCACTGTAAAATAGATATGAGAAAAATATGAGAAACCAGCAATTGCTTGTTTGTGCTGTGTTGCATTCTTCACATTAAAAACGAATGTAGGCTTCCAGACCAGTCAGTGTTCTAAAGAAACGTCGACCACGGCCCAAAAGACTCGTTAATATTGCACCAGTTTGACACCTACCACCCGAGCAAAGAGGGCGACAAGCTCTAATACGGTGCAGGAATTTTCCACCAGGAACTAAATTACTCCTCTACACATTGCATGCCCTGCACGAAGGCTAAATACCGTCGCAAGAACCCTACCAACGTGCAATACAGTTCACTCGACAACAAAAATGATGAGATAATTAATAAGAAACATTAAGGGCAGGAATGCCGGTAGCAGTTGGAAAAACCATGGAGGCAAATGCATGATAGAAACAAAACTACTAAGCATTTTGAGTTTGCCCATTAAAAGCATCCAGAGTTTATCAAAGAAAAGATGAAAACACCTTTGCCTTCTATATCTCATGACATTACAGCCACAACAGACGCAAGGATGCAAAGCATCTAGACAGAAAGACAAATACAGCTGAACCCCTAGGGTTAAGGCCCGTTCACACTCTTGCAACCGAGTGCGACCGAGAGAGACCAAACCGGTTTTTAAGCCTCTTGCGATCTCTTAGGACCAGCTCCGCTCAGTGCATCCGGTCCCAAGAAGTCTCTCTCGGTCGTACTCGGTTGCAAGAGTGTGAACGCGCCTTTATGCAGAAGCTTCTGCCACCTAGCCAACCTATGAGCAGTCGGGTTAACACCCTGGTAGCCGGAAGGGCATGCTCCGACAAGTGTCCGTAACCTCCAACGAAAGATCAGCAGGGCTCCCAGTGACTACAGTACAAATCCCGATAGTTTAAACTAACATTCGGGTCCCATCAAAGCACAATGCACTTGAATGGGAAAAAGCTCCCCGAATTTGAACGCATGAAAATGCAAAATAGTTATTTGAACTGCGTGCCGCCATACACGACTGCGTTAACCACTGCCAGAGAGTGCCATGCACCACTCATTCCGGCCTATCCATCCATCCATCAGTCGCTTAGGGCTCCACCAGCACCTTTTGTGATTATTCAAGTCAGCAGAGAACCATCCTGGTGCTGGTGGCGACTCAGAAACCGTATTGCGTGCGGTTTTATGTAATATGCTGCACTCCACTGCCGTTTTGAAATGTCATTGGGCACGAAATACACTGGTGACTTTAAAACGTGCTTTCGCGGAATGAACGCTCACAATAAAAGTGCCCGTTTGAAAGCTAGGCAGACTGCCTAGTTCGCAGTTGTCGCCTTCACTACCCTGCTAGCTGAACAGTTCTCGGGATCAAGTCGCAGCGACAACTGCTGCGAACTGTTTCCACTAGGAAGAGGAGAAGACAGCAGCACGAACCGGGTACAACTGTCCGCATTGCAACTCACCAATGCGGCCAATCTTCATGTCTGAACGGGCCAAGGCCCGGAGAGCAGACTGAGCTCCCGGTCCAGGCGTCTTTGTCCTGCGCAAGAAAGGAGCCACCGTCAGAAACCAGCAACTTCTCGCCAGCTGACGTCATATCAACTAGACTTGCCACCTCAAGAAAAAGCAAGTGTTGTACCATAGTTCACACACTCCTCATAGGAATTCTTAAGATTTGGTTGTCAGAGCAAAACATGTCCTTTTAGTCTGAAACATTCTGATAAAGAAATAACTGACTTTAAATGCACATACAAACATCTCAATTAACTAGGGGAAATTAGTAATGCACTGCGATAAACCAAACTTGCACCTGGCTGTGCTCTTGGGTGAAAACGAGCATTTTAAAGCACCTACCATGCCCTTACTGCTCTATCTCTAGTAAATCTGACAACACAAAGGTGTAGGCAAACTAAAGACTAACAGCAATGTCGGGCCCTTTGTTGCATGCTGAAATATGTCTAAACTTGTTATGCTGATCGAATCAAAGTAAAAAAAATTGGTGTGTGTCTTGTTTCTCAGCTGTAGATCAGAAATTTAGCCAGTGCAGCATAACTGCTGGCCTGGGGTCTTTAACGTGCATCACACAGTAGCAATACACGACCACACACTGGTGCAATGCTCATCCCAGGGGTGGAAGCGGGCTAGAGCCTTTTGTATCAGGGCTGGGAGCAGCAAAAGTCCCACTTTGGAGCAGTAAAACGCTCGCTTTAGAGCAGCTCGGGAGCAGCAAAAATAAGTTTTGTAGCCGTAGAAGTTGGTTTTGGAGCAGGTCACGGAGGTCAAACAAATGTCTAAAAGTGATTTGTTGTTTCTAAATGTGAAAATGTAGCAAAAATATATGCATGCACATCCCAGAATAATTTTCAAGCAACATACATACACATTTTTCTATTTCTATTGCATTGAAATATGGAATATTGGCAATTTATGCAAAGGAAAGGCTTTGAGAACCATTCCGGCAGCAGGCAGAGTCATGATAGACTTTATATGGGAGGCCCCGACAATAAAAGCCTAACTTGAGCCACGCCAGTACAAAACCGTCTACTTAATAGACCAATTGTAAAAATGTATCCAGAAAACTAAACCACTGCAAGGTGTCAGATAAACAACCTTCGCTGACTACAGTTTTTGTTTAATAAAGAATACACATGTTCAATCACTACTTAAAAAGCCCTGTATCAAGTTTAGTAACAAAATACAAGGCTACTGACATTTGACAAAAATTCAGATGCAAAATAAAATGTGTATTTTATATCTTTAGACTACCACAGTCACTCGTACATATGCAGCTTTAAGCATCGACTAGAAGAGCAATTAACGCAACCTTATGTACTCCATAAAATGCTGTGCATTGCGTGTCTCCATAAAAAAATTAAGGTACCACAACATGTTTCAGAATAAAGCAGTCCTTGCTGACCTGTTTTTATTAAATACAAATGTGCTTAATCCCTGTTCATAAAATACAGTAATCCCTACACCCAAGTTAACATACAAAGCTATATCTAATTACTTTGGATGGAAAAATATATTGTCTTAAATATCACAGCCACTAATACATATGCAGCATAAACACTGACTAGAAGAGCCCACAGGCTCCATGTTAAAAAAAAAAGGGTTGTGACTAAGCTGAATCTGTGTAATTTAGATACAACTGAAGTTCACCTTTTTTTTCACAGTTTGAAGAGCAGAGTCAAGTTCTTTTATGCGCTCGAGTACTTTGGGCAGTTTAGAGTTCACATCTCTTAGCAGGAGGTGTCCACTCCCCACCTTGTCCATGTCCTTAACTGCCTCACCCTTGCTTATGAGTTCTTGTGCACTCAGTAGAAGTGCTTTAAGAGAAGACAGTTTGAACGAGACTGAAAATGAGATGTAGCTGATCAGGCGCTGATCCCTGCGGGGCAGGCTGCCTTCTTACGTGACAAAAAGCCCACCAACTTCTCCCTACCCTACCCAACCCCAACCCCCCCCCCCCCAACCAGAAACTTATACGAGTAGAGTGGCTATAGCAAGTTAAGGTCCGTTCTTGACAGGAATCGGCAGCGCGGGAGTGTTGTACGGCATTTCTGATGTAACCCCCACTCCTCCACGCTAAAGGAAAGAAACAAAAAAGTGTGTAGCACTGCCAATTAACCAACTCGCTTAAGATCGCGGGTATTGTTTTCGCCAGTGGTTTGACGGCGGTAGACAACACACGACAGCGTGCACATTCGCGCACACAATGATGGTTTTGGTTTCGTTTTGACAAGACAAATTGAGCTCGAGAACGGATGTGCCTGTGCTCGCGATTCTTCACGGCTAAACGTCCAAATATGGTAGGCTACCAAATAACAGGTAAAGCTAGTAAAGACCACTTACTTCTGCTCATGTTAATGGCCAAGGTAGCCCACCGGTGCCGAGGCACCAACTCCCACGATCACGGCAAATCGGGCTCCAACCGCGCCAACCAACTATGCCCGAAACCAAACCGATGTGTTCGTATATAAACTCTTTGTAGTAAAAAACAACATCGCACTCTCTATGAACTAAAATCGACGCCTCGCCCTGAGGTTAGACATGGTTCGGAGCCCCAGTCGAGTTGGTACGAGTCACCCGCAGTGACACCTAAGCAAAAGTACACACCTGATGGTGGCCCGTGGCCAACCGTTTTCCGCTAAATTTAGAGAAAACACTAAAAAAAAAAAAAAAAAAGTTGAAATTGGCGTTTTGGAGCAGGTTGGCGCAGGGAAGTGAATTGGCGCAGGGTGGCTCAATTGGCGCAGCGCTTCCACCCCTGTCATCCAGAACGAAACAGGCAGGGGTGGGGATTGAACCGGGATTCTTGAGTTCTGCAGCGAGAGCTTTCACTCCATGTGCCCCGAGCTGGTGTGTGCCAGTCCACTCGGCCCCCAAACCCCCACATCAGTCAAATTTGGGGGTTTAACAATCTCCACAAGCCTCAGTCGGGTTGTGCGCACCTCAGCCGGGAATCGCACCTGCCACTTGGGGATTCGCAACTGGAACTTTACCTTAGGTCCACCGACCTGGCTACGTTCACTGTATGCTACTCGAGCCTCATGACTAGCTTAGAAATACCACTTGAAAAGGTGATGGAAATTTAAGATTTAAAGCTTGAAAGAAAACAATTAACAGTTAGACAAGTGTAGATGCTCATTTGGGTATCTACGGTAATGTGCATCAAGGCACGCAGTTAAAGGAGCTGTGCAACAATTTGAGGGCTTTGCTTAAATTATTGTGGAAGTTGATGCCCGACACTTCTGAAGTGAACTACAAAAACAGATTTTGCCTGGATACTTGTGTTTTTATTTAAAAAAAATGAAAAATATCCAGGTTTTTGCCGCCTATCAACTCGTAGATCATCTTTTGGGTCATGTGCGCAGTGACTTTGAGGGGGTAGGTGCGGGGTTCCAGAAAAGTTCTCTTTTTAGAACCATCAGTGAGCAGCGAGAACTTCTCAGCTCGCGACCGGGTGACGACGTGCTGGCGGGCGCAGCGCAAACCATGTGGTGAAAGGAGGAAAGTCTCATCCGGGTCCGGCCATACCCGTCCGGCTATCTCAAGGAGGTTAGGCTCTCTCCCCCTCCCCATCCAGCTTCTGGCGGCTGTTCACGGTAGCAGATGGAGCTGATAGTTTTGTGGACCTAGGATAGATGGCGCCACTAAAACTCCGTATAATAAAAGTTTTGTCGATAATAGCAGGTTTTTGACGCATTTATACATATGTTGGAACGACAACATTTATAGAAAAGTTACCTTTTATCGAGCAGGTATTCGTACAACTAGTTCTCTTTCTACAAGATTCCCCAGTGACGTCACGCCGCATATTTCTCATGGCCTCCGCTCGCGGCTGCGGTTCGGGGAATATTACAAGTTTTGCCTCGCTATGACGTGGCGGAATCGCAACATTTCAATGAAAGGAGGTGTGTTTTCTGTCATTTGTGACAAGGTGAACAATATCAAAAGCAGAAGATGCCAATTCTTTCAACGTTAAAATCGTTGCACAGCTCCTTTAAGTGGCCCATTCTTGTAGCTCTGTAGCCTTCTTGAGCTCACTTAAATTCCCCAATAATGCTAAACACTCATCAGCTGGCAGCACAGTTGTAAGTAGACAAGCGCATGCAGTCAAAAAGAAACACACTGCGCAGGAAGTCCCCACAAAAAGCGGCAGACGAGGACCCACCGTGTTCCCCCTGTGGCACGCAGCTTGATGTGAAGTGCAGTGATGCCGACCTGCTTGCATTTCTCGGCCACGTCCTGAGCAGCCAACATGGCCGCGTAGGGAGATGCCTCATCACGGTCGGCCTTCACCTTCATGCCACCCGTCACCCGAGCAATGGTTTCCCTGCAAACAGAACCAAAGAATAATTTGTTACCTCACAGATCATTCCAAAAATGTAATGATCTGCACCCCCCCCCCCCCTTTTTTTTGTTCTTGACGCAGATGTCCACTTTTTTTCCAGGAATGAGTGCCTTCTTCAAACTACAAAGGAAGGGCAGCCCAACTTGCCTTTTCCCATCAGAATACATTGATATTGTGCCGTTGTATTGACCTCTGTTGCCTTTTATGCCCCATATTGGCATATACTTTGCCTTGCAAAACTGGCGACAGAGGGAGCCAAGGCCAGGGAAGGGGGTCTATACATGTGCACGGCCGACTGGAAAAAGGACCATTGGTTTTTCCCAGCAGGAACGAGTAGGTACAACCATTGGCAGTGTGATGAGGACGCATGCAAGCCATGTATAGCCTAAGCTCATTATAACAAACCTGATTACAACAGAGATTTGGATATAACCAGGGTTCCACATTTTCGGTATCTATTTTTCTTCAGGTTCGTGGGTTATTTGTCGGTGTTTATTTTTTCTCTTGGAATCAATGTTTTTGTATGTTTAATTTAAATTCTGGAAAGAAATTATTGATTATCGGGGCTTGTGTTGCAAAGTGACTGCATAATTACTAGAAAAACTATGGCACACCTCACATTACACACGTTTATTGTACACACACCAAACACATCACACATACATATGGAAATAACACAAAGCGTGACGCTTTCAGAAGCATGATATCAAAAATGAAACTTGTTGAAAAAAATTGACATGTACATTGTCAGAGAGACTTGTCAGTCATCGGAGCACGTTCCTTGCGGCTGAGAAACCCAGTCCAGAAAACGCAAGCTCCACGTTTGCGCTTGAATGACAAGAAAATCAAAAGAAGCTTTTGACAAGACTGGCCATTCCTTGCTGTGCGCTCTGCAGAAGCTGCCAATGCATTGCCCTTCCCCCCTTCCCCCGCCCCTCTTCGCCTTTCCTCCTTTCTCCCATATACCAGGAAACCTGTGCCTGGACAAGAGACTTGAAAACCGTTGTGCTAAAAAAGATAAGGGAAGAAAACTAGGCAATAAACATTGTTTCAAAAGAAAGGGACGACCCCAAGGACAGTTCGTGGGGCTGTGTTCCGGGTCAACGAGAAAAGAAAGTGGGCTTGAAGATTCCTTTAGCAAAGCTGCCATTTTTTCCGCAGCTCGAATTCGCTGTTTTTCGAGTTTTACCGATTCAGAAAAAAACACCTCGGGCGTTAATTATCGGTATATACCGAAAACACGGAACCCTAGACATAACATACTGATTTGTAAAGTTTGGTTGGTTTTCCCCTATGTGCTATTAACTCAATTTCATATCTGCATACAACATACTCCTTTTAAAACAGACCGAAATCTTGGTCAAAATCAAGGTCTGTTATAACGAGCTTAGACTATTAAAAAGACACTGACACCGCCCCAAAATTTTTTTTTCATTTCTTTGCCACGCAATTTATTATGGTGTCGGAATACAACCCAATGAATAGTTTGCTAGAGTCACATAATATTTTAATAAAGCAAAAAAATGCAACTGCTCGAAACTGAAACTGAGATGTGGAAAGGAGAGAATGAGTGGCGAAAGTCACGTAACTACACCCGACCGTGCGATATTTTTTTTTTTTTTTTTTTTTCAGGTGCAGCAGACGAAATGCGTTCAGGATTCGTTTGCCATACGATTCCTTTGCAGTTATGTTTGTTCTGCTTGCTTTTCTGTACTTCAAGAAGAGTTGTTTTGTACATTTAAGTGTTGGCAATTAGTAGTGAGTGCCCGTGGGGAATTCCCGTGACTGGCTCCGAAAAGAATACTCCCAAAATGTTGCGTGAAGAGCTGCCTCACATCTGAAAGTGGCATTGTGCGGCAGAGGAGTCAAAAATGAAATCCCATACCACTTAATTCAGCAACGTATCGTCCACAATTTTTTATTTTTTTTTGTGTAATGTGTAAACACAAGATGTGTAAACATTGTGAAATGTTCGGAAAAAAAAAAAAAAAAAATGGTACGCCCACACTAGGGATCAAACCCGTGCCCGCTGCGTGAAAGCGCACGTCTTTCCACTGAGCTACTGAAGGAACTTTTTCTTTCGTAGTTATGCCAGTTATGCATCCGGTCGACTGTATGTCGGAAAGTTTGCTGCCGATTTCCCACCAGAACACGCACTCCCGGCTTGAAGTCAGGCAGCACCACGCATTGGCCACATTCATGCCAAGTAAAGAAATCATACTCGTGCATATTCAACTCCATGTACGCACTTCGTGCTTGACGTTTGAGCGAGCAATGTCTTCAGCCACGAGAAGGATAATGGCTCGGCGACATCTTCGTGCAATCGGCCTGCTGGTCGGGCGTGTCGAACGGGATGAATATCAATTCTTTTGATCGGTCCAAAATTTCTCTTTCGAAGGAAGACAGAATTCGTTGGTACCATGAACAACAGCTCTGAAGTAGAGGTCCCACGCTCGTCGTCCGCCGCCACCCGCGAGTCCCACGAAATGACGCCATGTTGAATTATGCAGTGAACGCACAAAATGCTTCCAGTTGTCTGCGCAATTTTTTTTATTCAACCAACGTATTTGCAGCTTTTTGGGAGCCACAAATAATGGGTTTCATATTTTTTTTTTTTCTATTTTTAGTATTGACTGTGTAACTTCAATGATGAACGACTTTGATTAAATTTGGTGGTCGCGTCGAAACCTTAGAAGACGGCCCGTGACCACGGAAAAGAGAGTGAGCGGGACTCAAACCGGCCAGTTCTCGATCGGCGGTTTTCGGGCGTAAAGAAACCAAATTTCGAGCCGCAAATTCTGTTCTGGGAAGTTGGGCTCTCATATGTCACGTACAACTAAAAACTAGTGATGGACCGAATCTGCCGAACTTCAGATTCGGCGAAAATTTGGCAAATGTCTGCGCACGCGCGAGAACGTGACGGGACGGGGCCACAGATTGCAAATGGACGCCGTGCAGTTGTGCGGTTACCATCGTGCATTGTAGTACAACCAGCGGTTACGGCGCGGTGTGGAGTACACAACACGGTAACTGTGCGTTTGTGAGCGAGTGTAGTCCTCAATATTTTTTGCCTCAAAAATAGAAGATTGACCAGTAATTTACGCAGTCCCCTGCACAAGTGACAAATGATGCGGTGCATTCTGAAACATTCAAACATTGGCCGACAATTACTTTAAAGCGCTCCTCGCAATTATAACAATTCTGTTTTCGACTCGGGAGTAGTGTGTTCCAAAACAAAATATTGCTTTTTCAATTAGGGTTATTTTGCGATTTACATGTATCTGCATAAAACTAAACAGAACTAAAATACTTGACGTTGCACATCCGACATTCCTAACCCTCCCGTCTTCCGAAACGCTTGTGTGTGTCCTAAAGGTTTAAAACGAGACGTTGCGATTATGGGAAGCACTTTCATACAAAGCTGACGTCAAGTGATTCAAATCGAAAAAACATGGATATTTAATATTATTATCTCTTCTGGTAAAGGCTCAGCAACCGTTGCATTCGTTTTCGCACAAAACGGTGACTCCCAGAGAAAACAAGAATACAGCGTTATTGTCTTCACTTCACAATGCACATACACATGCAGGCTTGCTCTGACAATGCCTCAAAACCGAAACTCTCGGAGAATGATTCGCGACTGCGTCATGCTCGCTTCTACCCAACCTCGTCACGCCACTTCTGCAAGGAGTCACTAAAATTGCCAGTAAGCACACAAAAACGACACCGATACAATTATCTTGTAGAATAATACCTTATTTAGTAATAACTGTGAATATGCATTACATGTTGCATTTAAGTAAAAAAAAAAAAAAAAAAAAAGAAGCATAAAACCTTTTTTCGCCAGAAAAAACAAAATATCAATGTTAAGCCTGGTAACAATGAATTTTTGCCGAAACTTTAGAAAAGTTCAGCAAAAGTTTGGCTTTGCTGAATCCCAAGATTCGACAAAAGTTTGGCCCATCACTACTAAAAACCTCGGCAAGCATAAATACCCTGTCAGTGTCCCTTTAACAGCCTCCCCCTTGGTTACACAGCAGTCACGTGCAAACATTAAAACCTTTCCGACAGAAAAGCCATAGAGTAGCGTGGATGCAATCATGCTAATTAACGTCTTCTACTTTGTTCCAAAAGTTGGTAACAAATATGAGAAACTATGAACATACAGCTCCGGTTTATTGAATTTAATTGCAGCCGTCGTGTTTCTACAACCAAAGTGGGGCAAAATGATACCAACCCATTGGCTTGATGTAATTTATGGTGTCATTACAAAGTCATTACATGTCCAAATACTTCATGCAAAGCAGACTACACATTGCTGTTTGTGGTTAGTCGAAACCGTAATGCCCGTGTCCCACTAGCGTGACAAACAAACAAGCCACAAGCCTCAAACACATGCAGGATGTTCGCGATGGTACCTTTGGCAGGCGTTTAGCTGTTCGGTGCTCATGAAGTAAGCATGAGTGATTGCAAGCCTATACCCTCCTCTATTCTACAAAGCCTGTCAAATCACGAGACTGGTCGATGTCGTTTGTTGCTCTAGTGGGACTCGGGCATAAAAAAGGCTTCGGACCAAAAGGATTCGAGAGCAAATCTGTCCAAAAGGATTCCAATAGTTTCCAGCCAAGCTGGTAAACCGGACATCTAAACAGAGCGACTGATCGGACAAATACAGAGGGTTGTTGGCGAGTGTCCACCCAAACCGACAAATGCAAAAGCCCTCTTTCGCAACCGTGTCAGATTCCGATTCACTTAACACTACCGCTTAGCACGAAAAGCTGCAATTGCAGCAGTGAGGTCACAGCCAAGACTTCACTTTGAGCGCGTGTTCGAACGCAACCGGCTTGTTCTAGAGTCTGGGAGACACTAGAGAAGTGACCGATACGTTCTTCCTGCGTTTGTTTCGCACTATCATGACACCCAATGCCGACTTTGAACGGACAGGACGCCCGGAAGGCACCGGGCTCTTGTCAGTGCAGGAGTTCGGAATAAAAGGAATAAGCTGTCATCTTACCTGCCGGAGAGATCGGTGACGTGAACGAAGGTGTCGTTGAAACTGGCGTAGATGTGGGCTACGCCAAACACGTTTTCGCCTCCGAGAGCTTGCGGGCCTAAGGCCACGACGGGCTGTTCTTCCTTCTGCTTTCCTTTACGTGGTGCCATCTTCTGCAAATGAAGTTTTAGAATTCAAGAATTTACGCAGTCCCGGACACTTTGCAAAAGCAGCACACACTAGCATGCACAGACTGCTGAGAGCACTGCACAAGTTGTCAACGAAAACACCCGGCTGGGACTAGCGCTCGGAGAGGTATCGCGGTACTTTGTAATCCCTGCGAGTATCAGTTGCGAAAATTAAGAAATGGTCTTACTAACTATATGTAGAGAGAACTCGCGATGTAGAGATGGTAAATGGTTATATAGCGATCAAGACAATCTCTGGATGTAAAGGGATTACATCTCAGAAATTATGAGCTTACCTTACAATGCAATGGCGACAGCCGAAAAGGTCTCGCGAAGGCTCGTCCTTCCTGACAAACAAGAAAAGAAAGTTTAGGGGGCAGCACCAATCAATCTTTTATGCTCAAGTTCAAAAGATTTATAGTCTTATTATTTATTATAGCAAATTATTATTTATTAATAATATTTTTTTACGATTTTTTTAAATTATTAATTATTCTTAGGTATAAACGTTTGTCTTTTTCTTTTTCAAGGCTTTTTCCCAACTTTGGCGAAATTCTGAGGCAGGTCTGAGTCCGTCTGCTTACAATGGGTTTTGAAAATTCGCGAGAAAGACGCACGTAAATCGCTGCGAAGAGATCTTTATGTCGGAAACATCGTAGCCCAAACGCTCTCCCGGAACACAGCGGTAACCTCTCACCCCTCGAGTAACGCGTCAAAATATGAAGAGTACACTGGACATACGATTCGTAAGCTCATTCCGCTCTTGCCGTGCTACATTCATGAACAGTATGCATGTCGCCGATCGAGTCATACAAACGTTTTTAAGACGCTTTTGACGCCGATTTCAAACTCTATACCGCCACTCTCTTCAGGAGGAAGATGACCTGCCGTACGAAGAAGAAATCATTAGAAATCCCTTCTCCGTCAAGCACTGGATGAGATACATCGACTTCAAGAAGGACAAGTCGAAAGATGTCATCAACTTGATCTGCGAGCGAGCACTGAAGGAGCTTCCCGGAAGGTTCGACTTATTTTAAATCCCTTCTATTTGATCTTCTAGCGACGGAATAACAATTTGGGAAACGGGCAGTTGTTTTTTCCTGCTAGCCATGTCTCGCTCTGTACATTCTTGCTCGTAGCGTAAACTCGAGACACTTGAGATGTTGACGTGTTTTTGTTTTTCTCTCTCTCGAATAGTTACAAGCTCTGGTACAGCTACCTAAAGCTACGTCGACAGCAAGTCAGGGATCTCTGCATTACTGATCCCGAGTACGAAGATGTCAACAGCGCATTCGAGAGGTCACTGGTGTTCATGCACAAAGTAAGTTCATTGTTATCCTGGTTGTACGTCCGAACATGTTGCACAGGCCATGACGCTCACGATGCACGTGGAACACAGTACGCGCAGGTCATCTTGTTGACAGCATGTTACGGCCTAATCAGGAAATATGCGTGTATGAATGTGCTCCGCATCCATTACAACACATATGTGTGTATGAATTTGCCTAGCAGTCATAAAAGGCTGCAGCAGGGTTCCGACCAGACGAAACCATAGTCACCACTAGAGTTTTTTCCAGACAGAACCAATAGTCACCGCAAAATTGCCGGCAGTTTCAAACATCGCGTGTATCACGGGAGCGTGTTACACCCCCCCCCCCCCCCCCCCCCCCCACCCCACCTGCATTCACGCCGCTTTCCTGGCGATAGCCTGCGGTCACTTATTACAAGAGTATTGACCCACTTCGCCCCCCCGTACACGCTACTTTGCGGCGGCCCGCCGGTGGCCCAAATCCCGCTGTCCCCAATTGCACCCCTGAAAAGGGAGTCCGATTCCATCTAGTTCAGTGGCGTTTTGTCCACAACATTTGTTTTTAGAGTGCAGCTCTCAGGCGCCCGTTTCCGGCTTGAGCAGCGTCACCGTCGGCGTTGGTTTAACCGCGCGGTGCATTTTGGGACGCATGACGTCACTGGTGACGTCATGCGTCCCAAAATGCGATGACACCATCAGTGACGTCATGCGTCCCAAAATGCGATGACACCACCAAAATGCGATGACATCATCAGTGACGTCACTGGTGACGTCACTGATGATGTCATCAGTGACGTTATCGTGATGACATCGCTTATGACGTCATCAATAACGATGGCGATGACGTCATCACGATGACATCACATGACCCCGGCGACGCCACGTGACCCCCGTGAGGTCACAAGGGTCACGTGACGTCACGCTTACGCCAATGCCGCTCGGAGAGAGGAGTAGCACACAGGATGAGGAGGTGAGGAGGGGTATACGCTCCCCTCAGTACCCTTCCCTCCTCCTCCTCAAGAGCTGTGCTCTAATTCGGTGTTACAGGGGGTTGTAAGCGACTTTCTTTTTTTTCTTTTTCAGTAATAATCGTAAAAAAGAAATGTGTAAATATCGCCAAATGTTTGATAAAAAATAAAACAGTATGCCCACTCTCTGGATCGAACCTGGGTCCACTCCGTGTGAAGTGGACACCTTTCCACTGAGCTACTCTACAGCTACAATGCCACCTCTACTGCACCTGCTATCTTTTTATCTGGACGGAACTCTGCTAGGCCTGCTATCGTCCCGTCTGGACGAAACTCTAGGCACTCTATTTATAAAAATAAGTATGTTTGTGCATGAATGTTCTTTGCATCCATGATGAGAGGTGTGTACGAATGTGCTTTGTATTCATAACTAGTAGGTGTGTATGAATGTGCCTTGCATTCATGACAAGCATGTGTGCATGGACATGAATGTAAATATGTGTGTAATAATGCCTTGCATCCTTGATTGTTTTGTAGATGAGGAAGTTTAAGCCTGCTTCAGACGGAGAAATTTCTCCCAGCAACTCACGCAGCAACCGAGTTGCTATGATTTGCCACCATCATCATTAAATTTGAATTTCCTTGCACTATTTAGACTCACAGTTACGTGCTATAAGCATGTTCTTCTATCTTTAAATGGCATTGAGAATATTAACTCATCTTTCTGAAACAATTCATTCCCAAAAACGATCCATTTTAAATGAGAATTAAGTCTTTAGTTGTCGTCATCACCGCCACAAGGGTGTCACTTAAAAAGATTGCGTCTCTGATTGCCTGCTGCCTCTTCAAATATCTCCAAGTTGTCAGAATTGCTCATCTGTCCCCCCCCCCCCTTCAAAACTCGAGCCGGACGTGATCCGAGCATTTCACGTTGCAGCGCCAGGATCTAAAGAAAGCTGGGTGACAACTCGCCAGTAACACCGAAATTGCTGGAAAAGTTGCCCCGTCTTAAGCAAGACTTAGAAAGGGCTTCTTTGTGTGGGCTGACATAGTGTATTGGGTCTGAATAGATGCCACGGATCTGGATGGACTACTGCAAGTTCCTCACGCAACAGCAAAAGATCACTCGCACCCGGCGAGTCTTTGACAGAGCTCTGCGAGCGTTGCCCATCACTCAGCACCACCGCATCTGGCCCCTGTACCTGGAATTCGTCAACATGCACGACATACCAGAGACTGCTCTTCGTGTGTACCGGCGGTATCTCAAGGTAAAGTAAAGACGACCTGCTTGTTCGGAAGTTTTCATTGAGGAATGCAAATCTATTATCAATCCAAAAATGCAGCCTCGGTTGTAGCTGAAATTGGATCAAGTTATGGCTAGCGTGAAAACTACTTCTAGCACCTTAGCTCAATAATTGGCACTGACAGCTGAAAGGGGTACTGCAACAAAATTCTAGCATCTATTTATTGTTCAAATGTCAACCACATTCTGGTCATGCCATAGAGACACAAAAAATTGTTTTCTCTTTGGCTATTTTCCCCTTCCTGATGTTTTCTATATTGTTTATTCTGCTCTCTCTATGCTGCTGAATGTTCTGCTCGTGTTGCTCCAGCTACTGTATTATGCTCATATTTTTAAAAAGTAATGAGTAATTAAAGTAATCCGTTACCAATATTTTGTAACGAAGTTACATTACAAATTACTTCCAAAAAAAAGTAATGTGGCAGTTACAAAACAACTTGAAAAAATAACAGATTACAAGTAATCCATTACTTGTAACGGATTACTTCCCAAGTTTGCACCTAACTGCCCATAATGCAGCGCCGCTCCGCGGATGTATGGCGACAAGTTGCGCGCATGCGAGCCCTGTCGAACTTGGCCGAATAGGATTTCTCTTCTCTCTTTTGCCTATTCAACTCCTACGGGAAGTGGGGGGCGGGCATCTCGAACTGCCAGGTTGTAACATGTTGACGCCACCAAGTGGCGAAGCTCACAACCATGCCAATGTCCTGTAGGCTTGACCCTGAAGGAAAGCATAATGTCACAAACGTGCTGGAGGCATCGGATCTCCCAGAACGCAACATGCTGTCCAATGGCTACTCTTCGAGCGCTCGCTGGTATCGGAAGCTTGGAACAAAAAATTGTGCGACGGTAGCATGACGAGGATGCGATTAAACACTGACAGTTGTGCTGCTTATTCGATGATATGACAATTGATTGACATTGCACCGGTCGTGCGTCATATGGTGATCTGATATTGAATTGATGTTGCGTTAATTTAGCTTCAATATGTTGTTGATGAATAAATGATTTTAAGGTTGCGATGTGTTCTTCCGCCAAATTTAGCAAGGAAACTGAATTGGTGCATAGGTCACGTGACGTCAATTTAATGCTAAATGTAGCGGGGAACCTGAATTTGTCTGTAGGTCCCATGACGTCAGGTCACGTGACTTTAATTTTCCCCCCAAATTTAGCGGGGAAACTGAATTGAGGCATTGGTCACGTTACGTAAATTTTTCCACTAAATATTCCGGGAAAACTGACGGTGTTTGTGCTCGCGTTGTCATGGAACCGTGGAATGGGCCATAACAGCTGTCGCTGTAAAAATATAGCCATCCGATCAAACTACAAACACGCAATTGTCATTAGCAGATTTCATTGATCATGTTTAACTAATTTCTGAACGTGAGAGGCATAATCCAATTTTCAGTTCAGTATCCCTTTAAGAAATGCAGGCTGGGGGCTTACTATTATGTTTACATTCTTTGCTTCATGATTTGTTCCCTGGCATTCTTATCAGCTATTGTTGCAAACTCAATGACTGGAGTGGTGATAAGATGTTCAAACTCACCATGTCCTGCATTTCTTTAGCTGTCAGGGACTAGTTTTATCTAAAAAGAGTGGCTTTTCAAAATGCTGTAGTCTTGCATGGAGACTGCAAACTTTAAAGCTTGTACCTCAAGCTCGGATGTAGGAAACCACATTTGCACGCACACCTTATGCTCACCGTAAAGCGCAATGCAAATCGGAATTGTATAGCCTCGTTTCTAAAATTCGACGGGGTGTCTTCATTATGCCAGACTTGAGACATAGAAATGCGACGATCTAGAGCAGGGGTGGCCCAACTGTGGTTCGCGATCCGCACGCTGCTTTTCGCTGGTTCAAGTGCGGCCCGCGGCTCCCTGGTAAATGTGCCCCCCTTCCCCTCCTGTGTCCCCAGAAAAAAAAAAAAAAGAATTGTAGAAATAATAAAGAAAAAGAAAAAAAGCTCACAGTCTTGGTAGTCTTATACTAGGACGGAGGCCCTACATGCATACAGCTGGACTTCTTTTTGACACATAGATGTGTGCAGTGGTCCTGTTTCCTTTGTTGTTCTAAAAAGAATTTTGAACTGTATACACATAGTGGGCGTCAGGTTCAGTGGCTGGCTAGCGAACCATGCATTCATTTTTGCTTAGCGGTTGAAGAAATGTTCTGCTGCTTGGTGTTGTTTGTTGTCGTCGACAATTATACTTGTCCGATTTGGAAAGGACTGTTACCTTCAGATCGTTTCTTGTTAAAAGTAGTCCCCCCCCCCCCCCCCCCCCTTTTTTTTTCCTGCAGCTCTCTGAACTTTTGTCTGCGGCTCTGACCCCATGTCACTCTGGCCATCCATGATCTAGAGTGTTTGCGTGTTTGTGTTTTGTTTGTGCAGCTTTGCCCTGAGAACGCCGAGGAATTCGTGGAGTACCTCAAGCGCATCGGCAGGCTAGACGACGCCGCAGTCAGACTCGCCGACATCGTGAACAAGGAAGACTTTGTGTCCAAGGAAGGGAAATCAAAGCACCAGGTCTGTTGGAAGCATGATAATATACTTCGGAAGTTGAGCTTCATACAGAGCTTTAACCGTTTTTCCCAGGAACCCAAATCATAGACGAGATTTGTGACACGAACACATACTTGTAGGCTAAAAGCACAAGGTCGTGGCACATTCGTTGAATTGAATTGGTTTATAGTCGGGGATAAGACCCGCACAGAAGATCGGTGGGCGCCATGATGTAGCACTTTTCGCACTGCTTCGTTGCCTTGCCGACTCGTAGCAGGGCAACGTCACACTGACTGTAGGAAATGCCAGAATGAAGCAAACATTGTAAGTTTTCTCACAAAATTGCTGCCATTTGCTTCATCGTCTCGCATTCTTTTTTGTCCGTGACGAAGGGGTTGGACACAACTACCATACGCATCTTTCAACATCTCGAAAACCCCATACTCATAGATGGCAGCAACTTTTCCAGCCTTTCCACTCTGGTTTTCGCCACAGTGGAAAGGCTGATTTTTTCTAGGCATCGTCCTGGAAGTCATCCTTGAGGTCGTCTTAAACGTCGCCTTTGAGGTCGTTCTAGATGTCCTTGAGGTCGTCCCTGGGGTCCTAGGTGTCGTCCTTGAGGTCATCCTAGACGTTGCCCTCTAGGCATCGTTCTAGACGTCGTAAAAATAACAGCTTTGCTGGTCCTCCATCTTCATGTGAAGTGGAGGGGCTCTACATTTTTTTTTTTTGTTGCAGCTGTGGAACGAGTTGTGCGAGCTCATCTCCAAGAACCCGGAGAAGGTTCACTCCCTCAAAGTGGATGCCATCATCAGGGGCGGGCTGCGCCGCTACACTGACCAGATCGGTCAGCTCTGGAACTCCCTGGCCGACTACTACATCCGTGCCGCTCTCTTTGAGAGGGTCAGTTTCACTTAGTAATTGTAGCAACGATGACGTTTGTTTCCATTTCCAGCTCTTTTTTCGTTTTCTGCTAACAAAGAAAGACTCCTTACATTTAGTATGGTACAATTCTTTACGCAGGCGAGGGACATCTACGAAGAAGCCATCCAGACTGTTCTGACTGTTAGAGATTTCACGCAAGTGAGTCCGAGTCCTCTTGCACCCCCTCGTTTCAAGATTTTGCCTATGTTGTGCTCAAATTGCTCAAGTTTACATCTTTATTAATGGCTTGCACATTCATGCCCCTAACATTACTGACCTTTACAAGACCTCCGTAATATATACTGGACCTTTTGGTAGACGTTGATTTAACGGAGAGTACACGGTCGAGTTAGTAAAGATAGGACTTCTCGGGTCAAAGAATGTTGAATAAAAGGGTGACAAACACTAAACTTTGTTTGTACCACAGTTTCAAGCTTGAGGCATTAGGATTGTTTTTTTTTTTCTCATTGTATTTATATACTTTTTATAATTAATGTACACAACACTGAGTTATGTTCTTTCCACTATAGCTTGCTGTATTATTAACATAAAATATTTGGTAACTTATCAGTTTTCTGAATTTTACACCTTAAAATATTTTGCCGCTCACATTTGTGCCCGTTCGTGTCAGGTTTTCGACGCCTATGCCCAATTTGAAGAGAGCGTGCTGTGTGCAAAGATGGAAGAGGCGAGTGCAGCAAGACCGAGCGAAGAAAGTGAGTGTTTTAGTCATTTTATGGACTGCTCTGCATTTAGTCATCTGTGATACATACCATTCACTGGATGGCTCTAATTCCTACAGATGACTTGGACCTAGAGATACGGCTTGCAAGGTTTGAAGACCTCATGGATAGGAGACCTCTGCTGCTGAACAGGTGGGCTTTGAAGGTGCATCAGGTATCAAATGCATGGCATATCGTTGTGTGCAAGGCCTCTTTTATGTTACTGACTTTAACTTCCAACTCTGTCTTGAGTGTTTAAACTGGTTTTATTGTAATTTGCTGCTTTTTTTTAAAGAAATTATTTTTCTGTGCAAAACCAAATCCCTTTGATGCAGCTACTTTTACAGATAGAGAAATTTGTCGAGTATGGATGTTAGCTTTGGTGCATACTTTAGTGACATCTGGAGTTGGCCTTGACCTTTTCCCGAGGTCTGTGGTCATTATGGCAGGCTGTTTTCTTCTACAGAAATCCAGAAAGTGCTTTGTTGGAAAAATCGTTCAAAGCTGGCAGAAAGTGCTGCTTGTTCGGCTGCACCCTGACCATGTTTCCACACTTTACAGTGTCCTACTCAGACAAAACCCCCACAATGTCCACGAATGGCTGAAACGAGTGAAGCTGTTTGAAGGGAAGCCACGAGAGGTGAGGCTGAACTCGATAGTCACGCGATAAACCAGAGCTTAGGTGCTAAAAAGAGTTTAAACGAAGGTTTCAAGAGTCATCTTTTTGATGTAATATATGCAACAACCTAAACTTTGTCTTCATGACAGACATGCATGAACCGCTGATAATGCTGAGAAGCATCCATTCATCTTTTCAAACGTAGCACAATTGTATATACATTATGTGGGCTCTTAGGTAGTGCTACAACAAGATTGCATATTAGTCAATGATTTATAAAACCTGTATGTAGTAATGAATAGCACTGATTGTAGTCCCCTGCAGCATTGGTTTCCTTCGTTTCCTACAGATAATAAACACCTTCACGGAAGCCGTGCAGACTATAGACCCCAAGCTGGCCACGGGCAAGCTCAACATTCTCTGGGTGTCCTTTGCAAAGTTCTACGAGGAAAACGACCAAATTGAAGACGTGAGTTGCCGCCCCTTCGCCGTCGGTCGCGTTTCGACGTGGAAAGGCAACCGGCTTCCCCTGACCCGGCTTTCCCTTTTCAGGCCCGTATCATCTTCGAGAAGGCAACCCAAGTCCCCTTCACAAAAGTCGAGGACCTCGCTCACGTTTGGTGCGAGTGGTCCGAAATGGAGCTGAGGCACGAGTAAGTCTGCTTCTCTCATGTTCCGCTTTGTCTAGCTTGGGGATTTTCAAACTCTTTGATCTCGGTCTCGGCATCGACGCATTAGAGCGTGTCGGAAGCCCACAGACCTAGTAAGCAGTAATGCTCATACTATATAGTCCCTGACAGAGCGAGAGCGGTGGTGAATGTCTCTCGGAAGCTTGGCCTTCAGCATGCACTCCGTGCCTTCCACCGTGCTTTGCAGCGTGCGCGCGCGCCAGGGGGGCATGAGACGACGAAGCATCATCTAAGGTAGGAAGCTCGTGCTGGAGGCGGGACAACTGAAGCTCCTCCCTGCCGTTCTCGCTCTGTCAATGGCCGTAGCAAGCGTTTGGTTCTTAGTCGTGCGTCAACAGGTGGTTCATATCTGCCGACATATGGCTTAAACTGGGAAAGCACTTTACTTACGTGCAGAGACAGCCGAGAAAAAGTTTTTGAGCTATGGAAACCCACGGGGATACTTTTCGGAAAGTTTTAAGGAGTCCAGCTTATTTCATAGTCACTCACAACACGGGGCACGGCGAGTTCCAGAAGTCTTATTTCCGCCCGTGAGATCGCCGTATTAGCCGACAAGAACGCCGGAGAACGAATTGGGAAACCGGAAGCATAAACCATAGATTGGAGGCACAAAGTGGAAAACTATCGTTTCACGACTGCTTCACATTTTGTTTCCTACAGAAACCACGAAGGGGCCCTGAAGCTCATGCAGAGAGCTACAGCCATGCCTTCCAGGAAAGTGGCCTATCACGACCAGGTGCGTATGAAATGTTCCTCGACCGTGTTCGCTCTCTCTCATTGCGGCTTGGATTTGTTCGGTGCTTCACGTTTCGTTTTCTCGACCGACAGAACGAGCCGGTTCAGTTCCGAGTGTACAAGTCTCTCAAGGTCTGGTCGCTGTACGCGGATCTAGAAGAAAGCTTTGGCACATTCAAGGTCAGTTCCTAGCTATCTTGCAAGATGGTTGTCACGACGGCGGTACTCTTATGGTGCCAGACTATCAGTGAGCCGGTTACTAGCACTGTTGATAGTTTATAAGCATTTCTGACCGGTTTATTTAAGCCATTGGTAGCACGGTTTAATCTCGTTAGTTCAAACACTCTTAATTCAAACTTGCGGATAATTCGAACTAACACGCAGGTCCCATCCTATGCGTCTCTATGGGAGAAAACTCTCGGTAATTCAAACTTTGCTTTATTCAAACAAATTTTCCGTCCCCCTCGAGTTTGAATTAACGAGATTCGACTGTACTACCAGCAGCGTGCTATAAAATCCTTTATCAAAGAACAGTTGCTCAATGACAAGCATAAGTTTAAGAAGATAACTAAAACTAATAGAATTTAGTGAAATGCTGCTAGGAAACTATAAAATTGAAATCAAATGTGATGTGCTATTTATTGTTGACAATTAATAGTAGGTTCCTATTGCTTTATGAATGGTTTGTTGTAGCTTATCAGCGCTTGAAAGTAAACATTTTTGACAGAAATCTGTCTGGTTTGGGAAACGAAAAATAATGAAATAAAGAAATCTTATCAGTGCTGGAAAGAATTTCACTTTATTTTAATGGAGTTTCTTTACCAGCTGCGCATAAGCCAGAAAGACTCCATTGGTCTATCAATAGTACTGCTTGTACTACTAAAACAGTAGTACCAACTGTGCTATCAATGGTCAAACACTACTAACTCGTACTTCTCTTTCGCACCCAGTCAACAAAGGCAGTTTACGACCGCATCATCGACCTAAAGATCGCCACTCCGCAGATCATCATCAATTATGGACTTTTCTTGGAAGAGAACAACTACTTCGAAGAAGCCTTCAAAGTAAGACCGAAAAATGAATTTTGGACTTTGCCCCCTAATTTGCATCCTTCCATACAGGCCTACGAGAAGGGCGTTGCCCTCTTCAAGTGGCCAAACGTGTACGACATTTGGAACACCTACCTCACAAAGTTCCTCAAGCGTTACGTGAGTGAAAAACATTTCAAAGGCAAGAAGAGCTTCGGAGCATTGACCGAGGATCTTTGAAATGTTCCAGGGTGGTACCAAGCTGGAAAGAGCTCGTGACCTTTTTGAGCAGTGTCTGGAGAGCTGCCCAGCCAAGTTTGCAAAGTGTAAGTTAACCAGGCTTTTGCAGCTCTTTTTCCTCTCCTTGTTTAATTAAAGGAGTATGATATTGCCATGGCTTTGTGACAGCTGGCAGTGAAAATGTCCACAATTATGCAGTTTCACATAGCGTAAGGCAGCTTTCTCGTAGAGAGTGAAAGGAGAAAAAGTGAAGAACACTGGGACAGATACTGTGTATAGTTTGTTGCAAACTAAAGAATGCAGGAGTAAAAACTTAGTCGAAAAGGTTGTCCACCATGCAAACAAAAGCAATTATGTGTATCCTCGCTGTCAACGTTTTTTTGTGTCGAAATTCGCACACAGAAGCCTTCATAGTTCTTAAAGTGGCGAGGAGGCTTTCTTGGGAGAGACTGCTTCTTTATTTCTTAACCCGCAACAAACTATGCTACAGTCATTACTACTCTCAGCGTTGCTCTTGCCGTTCGCACCGCTGGGTGCAAAAGTCACGATGAAAGTTCCATACTTTTTTTAGTGAACTGCACCTAAAGTCCCTGTTTTCTGGTGCATTGCAGAAAATTGCAAGCTAAAGGTACTGCTAAATTAGCACGATTGGTAAAAAGCTACATTGCGACCTCTGAATCCTCTGCAGCCCTGTACCTGCTGTATGCCAAGCTGGAGGAAGAACACGGCCTGGCCAGGCATGCCATGGCCATCTACGACCGTGGTTGCAAGGCAGTGCTGCCCGAAGAACAGTTCCAGGTGCGGTGCAGACACCATTTCACCGACCAACTCTATCCGTGCCATCTGCAGTCGGTTGATTTGGGTAGTGTGTCCAAACGTGTGTAAGGGAGATTAAACTCCCAAAATATTTATCTTTTAAAACCTGCTCAACAAGAACAAAAAAAGAATTAGGCAAAATATTTATGCTGCAAGACTCACCTGAGCATTCCAAAACATTCTTCTATTTAAAAACATTTGGAATCGCTCTTAACTCAAACTATCTCAACATAAATATTACGGAACCTTTTTTTCGGGGACAGTTTATTTTGTTACGTACATATGTGTCTTATCCAGGTACGTAAAAAAAGTTTTTCGTAGTTCTTAAGCTAGCTACCGCTGTCCCCTCGCACCAGATTGCTTCGAGCAAGGAAGGTATGTGCGGCCAACCGAAGAACCAATCTCCAAACATTCACACTATAGCCATTCAGACTTCTACCGTGCCTAGTGTCCTCCAGTGTCTTAAAAGAAGCAATATTTTAAGTAGCACAGAATGTATGCTACACTTGTATCCACTCACACACACTTTTAAACATACGCAAATTGTCTCCACACGGGTCCGATCGAGTTCCGTTTAGGGCCAGTACGGGACTGGATGGTCCCGTACTGGGACCATCCAGTACTGGGACTACCTGTGCAGAGTCCTTACTGTTTCCCCGGTTTTCTCTGTGTACTACTGCGGGGTTCCTCCTGCACAGATGTTCAACGTGTACATCCTGAAGGCGGCGGAGATCTACGGGCTGACGCACACTCGAGAGATCTACGAGCGGGCCATTGAGGTGTTGCCGGACAACCAAGCTCGGCAGATGTGTGTGCGCTTCGCCGACCTGGAGCGGAAGCTGGGCGAGATCGACCGTGCCAGGGCCATCTACGCGCACTGCAGCCAGATATGCGACCCCAGAGTGAGTGGCAGCGGCTACACCCCGCCCTCGAGACACCTCGCGGACTTGCAGAGAGCTCGCAAGGCCTAGTTTATATAGTGCTATTAGCGTGCATTTGGGCTCCTAAACATGATTTGCCTAGTTTTAGAGAAGGAAGCCCGGCACACAATTTTTTTTGCCTCGATTCACGAGCGACGAAGTCAAACAGCCACTATAGGCAGTGCAGAAATGGGAGTGTCAACAGTGACGACTCATTGTGCTCATAAATTCCTTTGGAATTCAGGATTTATGGTAGGCTCTTATTCATTTGAATTCCACGGAGCCAAGAGTTTTGTTTTCATTATTGAAAATTTGAATTGTCACAAATTCGTCTAAATATGTTGCAAGATAAATTAAGATTTGCTATATGGATGACTACAGGACAAAACAGATATTTCATGATTTCCACTACACAGACCTACTAATCATAAGCAGGTATGCCACTTGTGAAACATCGGTGAAATTTACGACATAAGTTTATTCATCCCTCAAAATTGTTGTTTATCTTGGGCTGTTTAGACAGCACATGATGCCTCAAAATGAAATTAGGTTTGTTCACCCAGCAGAAAAGTTGTCTGTTGTGGACTATTAAGCAGGAGACACATGGGCTATGAAAATGGGCGCCGTGCGGCAGTTTCCATAGCAACTTGCGTGAACGCTGTTAAGTGAACCTGTGCCATGCCATCGTGTCGTCACAGCGTCCGTGCAAGTTGCTATGGACACTGCCGCGTGGCACCCATTTATGTTGCTCATGTGTCCAGTACTCTAGCCCCGTTGAGTGCGTTTCTTACCGAGCACCGATGCACTGCGGAGAAAACACCTGCAGAGCTCGCTTCCACGGGTGTTGCTTCTCTGCAGTGCACCGATGCTCGGAAAGAAGCGTGCTCAACGGAGCCGCAAGTACAAAAAGTATGAATTACACGAAAACGCCGTTCAAATTAAGCGGTTTATAAACACATTAAAAACAGCGGGACAACCCAAATTTTTTACTTCGTTGAAATTAACCAGAAGTATGAAATGTCTGTGTTTGAATTATTGTGAGCCTACTGCAATATCCCTCCCGTTTTTCGACCCCAGGCTTTCTGGCTACGCTGCTTTCCGATTTTTTTTAGGGGCGAAGCTCCTTAGGGTTTAGCCTTGTCCGTCTGGCGTCCGTGCTCACATCGATCTTGCTGGTGCTCGTGCTCGTAAGCATGTAAAGACAAAAAAAAAAATGATGAAAAAAAAATTTCTGCGCAGTCGACAGGATTTCAATTTGTGCGGGGAGACCTCAATGGATTCTAGTCCATCGCCTTAACCACTCGGCCATGACTGCGGGACGAGTAGGGGGCTCTGAGATGTGGTAGTAACTCAAGAGCTGGGAATGTCATGGATGAAACGTTGCAGGTAGCCGCTCAACGTCTATACAGGAGAGGGCGCTCCGGTCAAATGCGTTTATAATCGCATTAAACTTTGCATGCATTGGCTCAACGTTTATAGACGAGAGGGTGCTGCGGTCAAATGCTCAAATGCGTATATAACCACGTTCCATACCACACATTCTCTTTCTGACATGGATGAAAATGAACGAAACGGCTCGGCATGCTGCGGTTTAGCGTCTACGCAGACAAGCACCACCAGAGCTTCGCCCCAATCAACATCATTCACCACGTGGAGATGCGGTCAATTTTTTTATAGGTACATATTCATTTGCTGCCACCACACTGAGCAGCAGTGAACTATGGCCATGAACGACTGATACATATGCGTGCAAGAGGATATTTAAGTGTAGGCATAGTTTCTCTAGCAACTGTCATGCCGCAGTTTCTGTGCTACTATACTTTACAGCTTTCTGCTTTGTAAGTAAGGTTCAAAACGAAGCAACAGCACGACAGAAATGTGGCAGTCTTAAAATTTCTGCCTTTCATCAGTTGCACTTGTTTTTTCTTCTGACCCAAATCTGTGCCACCAACTGCTTTCTGCAGGTTACGGCAGACTTCTGGAACACGTGGAAGGATTTTGAGGTGCACCACGGAAACGAGGACACAATGCGAGAGATGTTGCGCATCAAGCGTAGCGTCCAGGCCACCTACAACACCCAGGTCAACTTCATGACCGCCCAGATGCTCAGTGCCACCGCCAGGGAAGTGGCCGCCACCGGGGCCACAGAAGGTCAGAGGACTACTCTTTCTTTTGACGTGTAGAGACCACAAGACAGAAGACATTATTAGCATTGTCTGCATCGTCAGTACATGGTATTGACAAATAGCATGGTGCAAGGACCACGTGCATAGACCGATCTTATCAACCATTTTTGTTACGCCGCCGCCGCCGGCAGGCATCGAGGGGGCGTAGTCTTTCTGTACATGCAACAACCTTACTGGGAATCTGTGCAAGCAGAGCACAAGACACAAAGAGCTGTCTCGTGCTCTGCCACCTGCCTTCTGTGGAATGCAGTTATGACGGCTTCGCTCGTTCGTGGAATGCTTAGCAAGACAGGGTATTGAGCCGCTTGTGTGGTTGAGCAAAGCCATCACAAACGGGATGCATTCAAGGCCTAGCAGAGCCAGCATTAACTTATAGCTGCAAGAACCCCTTGCGTAGAGCAAGTGAATTCATCGATACGAAACTTTAACAAGTGGAAAACGATGGAGATGTTGGCGCTGTCTTCACAGTAACTGTTTGGTAGGTTTCCTATAGAAACACATTCAACCCTACAGGAAGTGCGAAGAGAATCGATATTGGGCTTTTGATTTATAGCAAAATCTGTGCACATATGCCAGACATTAAGGAGACGGTTCTATTATACATTTGTAAAACCTGCAGTAACTCGCCTGCATTTTGACACCTTGCAATGTCCTAACACTTCACCGCAGAGCCTGCCAAGGACTCCATGCAACAGCTGGAAGCAGCGGCCAAAGTTTTGGCCGAGGAAGCCAGGAGAGATCCCGCGAGGATGCCAGGAAAAGACATCCTGTTCGTCAGGTACTGCCGGAAAGCTACTGCTAGAGAGACTCGCATTTTCCTGCCCTTCCATTGTGCCTGTGCTTCAGTGCAAACCTCACATTTCAGGGGTGGTACGACGGAGGATGAGCAGAGCCTAGCGGAGCGAAGCAGAACGACCAACCCAGACGAAATCAACATTGATGACGACGAAGGTTCCGACGACGATGAACAGGTTGAAGGTAAGCAGTAGTTGTGCACGGCAATAGCAGCTTCACAGGCACATTTTGATCATGAAGTTGCTCGACTGTCTCGGCATTAGAACCTTTCATTAAATTGTCTGCACTGTGTACAGTCCCAGAAGAGCTGTTGGGTTTCTCACCTTTACCATTCTGCATTTTCAGAGGTGGCGGTCGAGCAGCGTTCAGTGCCCGAAGAGGTGTTTGGAGACCTCAAGATGTCTACGGATAATCCATGACCTTCACAGTCCACGGCCTTATGCACCTATATATAGAAAATAAAACGGCCCCAACGCATCCAAGATGCATCGTTTCACCATTTTTTTCTAGAGTGCTGGAAAGCCTTGTGCTTTCTGCGATGTTCAAGGGCAATATAGCCAGGGAGGTTCAATAATCTACAAATAGGATTCCGCATTTTCGAATAAATCCAAAAAAATCTTTCAGCCTTTCCACTCTCGTGAAGAAGGAAGACCAGCGGAGCTGTACTCGATAGACTATGTGCTTCTTCTTCGTCGTCGTCTGTTTTTCGCGCTATTTCCTACGATGAATTTCCACCAACGCGCCCAACTCTATTCTTCTATTATAGCTGGAAAGGTTGCCGCCATCTACGAGCGACGGCAAAAACCATACTGGTTGTGTGCTTGTCGTTGTCGCTTATAGATGGCGGTAGCTGTCCAGGTAGGTTTGTGTCAACATACACGGACACGATCCTGGGGAACCTAGCCCTTAACAGCTCTGCTGTAAAAGCTCAAAAAAAACACTTGCTGGTAAAATTTGCGTTCCGGATTTACCCGAAAAACTCAGAAATTCAACGTCGCAACGGAATTTTACGGAGAACTTTTGGCAGAACACAGAACCAATTATACTTTTTTTTTCTTTTTTTTAAATCTTAGTTAAAGGGCGAAATTGAGCTTCCTGTTTATTTCATTAAGGTTTGTTCAGGACAACGGGTAATGCACTTCTGGGCCACGACAAAAGCCTCTGTTCGATTTCCAGTTTGGGCCATACTACTCGTGCTTCTTAGATACATGATGGGTTGCATAGTGAAAGATAGGAATCTGTATATTTCATAGGGGAGAGGGCAGCTGAAGCTTTATGCTTCCCAACTATAGCCCAAAGTTAGGTTATTTCGAAGTACCGTATTTACACGAATGTAGGTCGACCCTTTTTAAAATTTTTGAAAATCTGAAGGGGGGGGGGTCTACTTATAATCGAACCAAAGCATTCCACCGCTGGCAAAAACGAAACAATCGTGATATCATGAACATCTCGGCTTGTTACGAGTTCAGCCGACTGTACCTCTAGCATTGCACTATTCTGTGCGCTCATTTTACAATTTTTTTTTTTTTTTTTATTTGCGTGAATGAGTAATTTTGATATTGATTCGCAAATTGACCTGAATGTACAGCGGTGAACAGCCCACAACGCGCCCGAATTCCGGGGGTGGCAGCACTTCTTGTAAGAGCCACTCCGGAAGCCACTGGAATATGGTGACTATAAGGGGAGGAGTGCCGAACAGAAAAGCGATAGCATGCCACTTGTTCATGACGCCGGTGGCATTGTTACCCTGCACCTGGCGCCATCGGGCGGCGCACAATGGCACCAAGCGTAAAAGTGCGTCCTGCGTGAACACGCAGAGTACAAGGCGCCCTCGTGCCCCGGGACGCTTCACGCCACGCCCCTTCGAGCAGAAAAGGACCGGTATCCTGGCTACAATGCCACTTTTTTGTCATGAAGCGGCGGCACGTGGAACTACCCATAAACGCCGAGTGCTAGGTACACCTACCCCTATAGCCACCGTAACCGGAACAGCCTCACGGCTTGCTCTACCCGCGGCTTCTCCTTCTCTTTAGTTTTGCACACAATTCACGGTCACACGTCATTTGTCCGAGTGCCGAAATCATGCTGGAGCGCTAACTACATTTTGTTTGTATTGACAGGCATGATCCGGGCAGTTTAGGTTTTCGGTGCTCGTTTATGGCCATTCTTCACCTAGAAGCAACCAACAACTGTGCTGTTGGACACAAGTTCGACCCGTCGGAGCGGGCGATGCTCCAGTGGAGCCTGCAATGGCGCGGGATCTTTAAAATGTGACGGCAAAAGAAGAAGCTTCCACAGGCCAAAGTCTGGATAGGTGGGATGCCTTCCAGAGCTTGAGGTCAGGCTTGCAACATACGCTGCAAAAGCGTGCAATCAGTCCCCACCCGTGACATGCAACGCGATCGCCGAGCAAGCATGGAAGATGCTGTCATTTACGAAGTGCGAGAGTTTGTTGGACGACGCCGCCAACATGCTTCGAGAACGTAGTAGTGAAGACGGCGGGATTGACATCACCAGTGCGGACAAGTCGTAGTCTAGTTGCAGACGGAGTGAGAACGACAGGGAGCAGTTTCAGTTGTCCCCTCGAGCATGGACCTCCTAGTTTCAAGGACACCTGGGCATCTCAAGCACCTCACTTCTGGCGTGCTTTGACTGCATGCGCAGTCAAAGCACGCCAGAAGGCATCGATCACACGTAGGAGGCTGGGCTTTCAAAACAGATACTTTGCCGTTCTCACGTGTTTGCAGTAAAATGCACATCTAAAGTGTTTCTTTTTTTTTTTTTTTTTGCCGATGTGCTATGCGGGGGGGTTGACTTATTCCCGTGCCACACGGGCAACTCGAATGCCATTTACAACGAATGACATTTGTGTGATCGGCGAATCAGCTCGCAATCTGTCGCGCGTGGAATGCGCTGCGCCCGGAGTGTCGCGCGCCGATTGGCCGTCCGCTCAAATGTCATTCGTTGTAAATGGCATTCGAGTTGCCCGTGTGGCGCAGGTATTACAATCATGTAAATACGGTATGTACTTACATTTTTTTAAAGCAACACTTGTTTGCATGACTTGTCGGACAATTAATTACTACTGCCAAATGCAGTTGCAAAAATATTTTTCAATATCTGCGAGTTTTTATTAGGGCAGGCTGAAAAAAAAATAGTTCTGGAAAAATCAATTTATTTGATTTATATCACTGTAGCTCAAAAAATTAGTGACTATTACCCACTACCCAACCATATTGTAATGATAGAAATTTCATTTAAAGAAACGTGCATAGAATTGTTTAACTGCTGACATTGAATGTAAATGTATATTTTGTTATATGATTGAATTGCTATATTTGTTTAACTGATATTTTGTATTTAAATAATTTAAATTGGTGTATGAATATTACCCATCATTTTGAATCCCCCGATGTAGTGCATCGGAGGTGAAGAAAATGAAATGTAACCGATGAGCAAAGTGGAAGACTAAAAGAAAGCTCAATGATCAGATTTGCTCAGAAGAGCAATTCATTTTACTCGTGTTCAGCCCAATATAAATCTTTTTCGCTCGACTATTCTTAGAATTAAATACAAAACAAATGTGCATAGAAAGCATCAAAAGATATAACAAGTTACAGCTCAAGAAGGTAGGGTGAAGGAAAGAAAGGCTGGGGAGGAAGAGGCAGAAGGAATGCTGGAGAGGAGAGGGGGATTAAGGGTATGTTTTTGTCTAAACATACTTTACTTTCATTTTGAATTAAAAAAAATTGGGGACACAGTAAAAAAAAACTGAATCCTGGAGTATCGGAAATTAACAAAAATGAATGCCAATGTACCCTCTATATCTAGCAAAAAATGAACCCTGAAAAACACCCTCCGTATTTTACGAAAAATGAGCTCCAAAAACAAAGAACCCTATCTATAAAACATGTCAACATTTTTTGCGTTTCCCACGATACTACGGAACGGTTTTGTTTCGGCTGCATGTTCCTCAACTGTCAGTTTCCAGTCCTTCCCAGCCGACACACAAAAATATTTCTAAAAACAGAAGGGCACTCCAACCTTATTCAATAAGATGCTTTTATTCTCGAATGTACAGACAATATCTCCTTGTTCAGCAGTCATCCAAAGCAAATAAGATTCTTTCTGAAAGCTTGCTCTTTGCAAGTGTATTCCACGTAAAAACACACCAGATGAACACTCCGTCGAACACATAGAATGGGCAGATAAGATAAAAACAGCATAAGCCTCCAAAGAAGTGAGAACACGAGGATTTTGTGAGATTGCTACACCTAAAAGAAAAACTTTTGTGCACTTTAACAGATTCACACAGAAACTGCAAAACCCATCCCATAAGAGTAAGCAAGAACAAATAGCTATCACAAGTTGCTCACTGCCTCCTTACCTTAGAGGACACTCGTCCTTGCCCTAGAACACAACTAGAAAAATGCATTTCTTTTTTTTTTTTCCCCCGTCGGGAGTGGCGATTCCGTTACTCCGAGACGGCCACATTGGAGAACCGCGAGTAGCGGTAAGCCCGGTACCGCCGTACCAGAACCGGTATGAAGAGGGCCGCCGCCGCTCCCAGGGCCAGGGCAATCAGCACCGTCACGGCAAAGGCGGCCGCAGAAACTGAAACAGCAGAAAGTGCCAGTCACCGAGGCTGCACGAACGATTTCCTTGCAAGAATCCCACATTACGCTCCAACTTGTCCCCGGTTGTCACCACTTCCCCGAACCGACCGTTTCGTAGAGTTAAAAACTGTGTTAAAAAAATGTTTGATACATAATCTCGAACCGCCGAGACCTCAAAACTCGGGGATCGCGTGTGGGTTCGCAAAAAGGAAGGATCTTTTAGCACTCGACAACTTCTACAAAGGGGTGTGGAAAGATGCAACGTAACGAAAGAGGCCATAGCGGAGATATTTGGTAGATCGTTCCGATACCTCCGATAATACCCGTTATTCCGTCGATGCCTTTGCGCATGCGTTATGCTGTTATTGGGTATCGTCATCGAAACAATCTACTAAAACTCGCTATTAACTTGCGAGATGAGAACGACAGGGCATCTCTTTTGGAGGCCTAAGCTCCAGCTCGTTGCCATTCGTTGTGCCTTGGCTGCGCGTGCAAGCTCGAGACTCGCCTGATGCCAAAGTGGTGTCGAAGATGGGGAAGCTCGCACCGGAGGCGGGACCAACTGAAGCGGTACTCGTACCGGTTTAGTTTTGCCAGTGACTATAGTTAGACCGTCACAGACGCACGGCACTTCTCACCTCCGGCCCTCGCTGGTTCGGGTGCAGGCGTGGTGGGGGCTGGCGGCGGCGAGGGTGTTGGCTCGTAGCTGCACGACAGCTCGTCTGAGTTGTCCCCGCAGTCGTTGACGCCGTTGCAGCGCCAGTCGGCGTGGATGCAGATGCCCGTAGACTTGCACGTGTCTGTCAGGTTGCAGACTAGAGAGGAACAAAGCCCACATTCGGTTTTGTGAGGCATGCCTCGTCATACGGTGTTGACGTCAAAGCACCAAAACTGGAGCTTCCGTAGACACACGTAAGACGACAGTGCCCTTGCCATTGCCCCACTATTTGCCCCAGTTTTCCAAGTCGTTAATGACGGAATGGAAAGTCCCGCAAGAACCCCAGCCTACGTTTTGCCGAAAGACGTCGTCGGTCATCTTTCCAAGGAATCCAGGTTCCTCTGTTGCGTGCCTTGTTTGAACACTTCTGGGCAAGTGCACAGCAAACCGTAAGGCTGTGTGCTCGTATTGTTTTAAGTATGGGACTCGTACTGCAAATCTGACTCTTCTCTGCATGTTGAATCGCCAACTCATACACATCTTAGGAGTGTCTGCTGCATCCTTCAGAGCGCCATAACTGGGAATGTACAACGTGCGCATGACGACATGTTTCAGTCGCTTGATGAATAGACGAATTTGGCAAGGTTCACGCAACTGTAAGGTTGAGTTCAACGCGCAGCCTCGTGGGCAGATAAAAGTAACGCGACAAAATGCTTGTCCCTACGAAAGAAGCGGGTCAACATGCATTCGATGCACATTAAAAAACCCTCAATTAAATACACTGTACTGCAAAAAAAATATTAATAAATAAATAAAGCTGCAAAAGCTACATTAATGCGGTTTGTGAACGCGAGTTGTACAGCAATTGTCACCATAAGTTGACCGATTAAGTAAAATTTGTTAATTAACTTTTTAGTCTGTGAGAATAGACATATGGTTCCCATTAGAAACTTCCTGAGCATCATCGAGAACCACCAAGTCAATAATTTTTTTAAATACCTTGAGTGCGTGGGAGGCATAGTAGTGTGCTAAAGGTGCCCCTAATGCAACAGGTACAAGGCTGAGGTTATGATAACAGATGGCAAAAACCTTCAGGCGTGTTATCGCATCGGTAGCCTTGCTTCTGCTGCACAAATGGTAACTAGCGCAATACTGCGGTTCTCACGCACTGTCTTTCTAAAATTTACTCATTTAGTAGTTTTCAATGACACTCGGCAAGTTTGGAATTGGAACCGCATGTCTATTTTCACTAATTAAAAAGTTGAAAAATTTTACTTTATTAGCCGACTGATCGTTACAATTAGCCCTCCATACTATGTCCCACTGGCCGTATAACTCACCTGCACAAACCACATGGCTTTTGTTTTTTTAAACACATCTCTTACCGTATTTACTCACATAATGAACGTACAACTCGCATAATAAACGCACCCCCCACAACGGTCATCAATATTTTGACTTTTTTTTTTTCTCGCGTAATGAATGCACTCTTAGTTTTCGACTCCGCGAGTCTTGAACTGCGTCTAACTTAGCTAGCCGGCTAGCCACCAAGCCCGCCAATTTTCTTTTGCTGTCAAGCAGCCAGGCCAAGTCAAGCCAAGCCAAGCCACTCTCGTAATGGATACATCACGTGGCTGCTGAAGTGATCAACCGTGAAACCAAGCGGCGCGCACGCCTAGCGAAGTTGGGGTCGAGGAATCGCCCAGCCCCGGACGTGCTTCGACCATTGGACGCATTGATGTCATCAAACACGCCGCCGTCTGTGATCTGCTTTCGAACAGTGATATCGTGAAAGTGGTTAGGCCTAAAAACGGTCGCATTGCCCCTGTGCTGAGTGAGCTTCGTAGGGTGTTTTTTTTTCTTTTTGGCAAAAGGCCTGCCAAAAGCACCCTAAAAAATGGTTTGCAATTTTTAGAGCACTATTACTGTGCCGCACCCGCAACCAGCCATGGGCACGCCTCCGTCAGTGGGAGACATGCCACAGTACTCTGCCAGGTCATATTGACACGTAAAATGACATTTGTGCAAAATGTGTATGCAAAAATTTTACCCCACGTAATGAACGCCCCCGCCAAATATGAGTCAATTTTTCGGGGAAGGAAGTGTGTTCATTATGCAAGTAAATACATTTAGTTTAGAAAAAGACACCCTGTATATTTGAGTTATTATACCGGAACATTATGTGCACAGGTATGATGTTCCGGTCTCTCTTACATTGTTTTTGCTTCACTATTGCTAACACAACATAAAAGTACAATGACTCAGAGGAGAGGCTATACGTAGTGTCACGCAAGGAATTGCATCCACTGCAGACGGGACGAGAGTCCGTTTGTGCCATTTACTGTCAATCACCACCCTCTAGTTAAAAAAAAAAAAAAAAAAAAGTTAATGTAATTTCTGGGAGTGAAGCTTACTACAGCGTGTCCCCGCTAAATATGTAGTGTTTTGTTCATCGCAAAAATAACGTATGCATCGCCGCACACTCCATCTTCACCAGAATGTAATGCTACCAGTCCAGACAACAAGATGCCCAAGTTTCAGAGCTAACCACTATCTCATTCAAAAGTTTTAAGTGATCTTCTGAAATTTTCAATGGGAAAAGGGGGCCCATCCCCAGTAGCTTGCACCATTCAGTCCCATGTATTTGTGGGCTCCGTCGGCCACCACTCACAACTTCCGAATATCACTTACAACTTCCGAATAAGATGACGGTTTGTTCCGACGCTTCGGCATCTGGTCTGGACCGCTAGCTCTACATCCGCATGGAGACTGAGCGTTTGGCGATGCATAGTTTATTTTTACGTTTAAAAACACACTACATTTTTTTTTAGGGGACAGCCTGTATACAGATGAGGAAAGAAATCAAAATCAAGATAATGATCCACAGTCACAGCATTCACACTGCTCTGTATTACAAGCATGGTCAGCATGCATCATGAAAACCTCGAAATGTGCTCCCTCATGCCATTTCAACGTAGAGGCTTCAAATTCCCACCTGCAGAACCGATCCGTGGTCACTCACCGTAAGTGGTGAAGTTGATCCGTAGCGGAGTTCCGGAAGACATGGCAGGAACAACGTACTTGACCAGGATGACGTCGGTCTTGCTGAGCAGGTCCTTGCCCGTCAAGTTGGCAAAGATGGGGCTGTGGAAGCTGTTCTTGCCATCGTACACCGTCAGGAACCTGGAACGGAAGATGGAGGTTTGGCTGCTTAACCGGTAGTTTATAAAAGCAATTTGTACGGGATTCTAATTGCAGTACAAGCATCTCTTCGTGTCAAACCTTAACAGCAACCTCGTTCATTGTTTAAACGGAATGTTTAATTTTAATTCGGGCAAAATTATTTTAAAAGCGTGAAACCTGTACAGACCCTTATGCGGTCTGTACAGGTGGGTTATATGGCAAGGAGGCTAATCGTGATGGTGGATAGGATAATTAACTGAATTTTCTGAATTAGATTTTTAATTGGTAAACATAAACATATAGTTCCAGTCAGGAACTTGGCAAGCATTAACAAAAACTGCTAAATTAGTACAAAAGAAAAAAAAATGAAGCCTATGTGATGTGCGGGGGTGCCCTAAAGTTACCATCCGTGCAACAGACGCAAGGCTGGTGGTTAGAAAACACGGATAATAGGATTATCATCTGTGTTGTCGCACCCACAGCCTTGCGCATGCTGCACGATTGGTGACTTTAGCACGTGTCCGTGCTAAAGTCACCACCCAAGCTGTGTACCACGAAGGTAGCACTTTTATTCCATCTCCGTCTAATGGCATACTGCAAGAACCAACTAGCAAAGACTGGGCAACAAGTAGAATGTTGTTCTGTTATTCGATTAAACACACAGGAATAACCCAGTAAGCTGAAGGGTGCAGCAACGACATGCACATCCAAGAAATAGCTAAATACCGTTTGTTCTCAACCAACAAACAAGGAAAAATCCAACTTGTCAAGATGTTCAAAAGATGCAATCGGATAATTACCAAGAATGCAACTCACTCTGAGATGTCCTGCACCGTTGTAGAAGCATTCTTCCCCAGGGAAATGTTGAACTGGATTGCAACAGCACTCTTGCTCTTGTCGGGGTTCGGAACACTTATGGACCAGAAGAAGACGCTGTCGTTTTTCACTGGAGACGGGTACGCCGGTGTCTCCACGATGCCCTTTTCTTGGTCCACCATGTGGGCCATGTCTAAAAATAATAGGAAAAAAATAAGAGCACACTGACTAACAGCTTCACTGGTCTTCCTTATTCACCAAAGTGGAAAGGCTGAAAGTTTTTTTTCTTCAAATTTTGCATTGTAAATTTACTTAGCAGAGGACAATGGCACAAACGCAGCATTGTGGGCAGCGGCATGGCACTGCTCACCCAAAAGGTCCCATGCCTTCCGGCCGCTTTGGAACGACAGGGCAAACAAACATTGGAGGTCTAAGTGGGTGGTCCCGATGGGCTACTATTGCAGGCGATGCCTTAATATAGCTGACTCTCATTCATTTAATCTCCACGAAGCCACAAATTTTGCTTGAATTATCGGAAGATTGAATTATCAAAAATTCATCATGATGCCATCCATAGATGGCTTCACATATGTGGGATTTGCTACCAACACAGGTACCGATAGAGTAACCAAAGGGTTATTTCAACAACGGCGGCGATCTCAAAGCAGACGTCAAACCTAGTAGCGCGGTCCCCACATCTCCGCGGCAATATAGACGACGTTTAGGGCTACATTACCGCAGGTCGGTTCGATAAATTACCTCCGTCAGTGCCAATGATCGTCTACCTTGTCTCCCTCGCTCGAATAGAGTGGAAGAGAAGAGACACGTACCAGAGTAAGGACAGAGTCCAAGAGCATTTATTAACATACTCTTCTAAAGGAACTACAATGTCCCCATCCAAATATGCCCCCCCGCGTCGGCAAGGTAAGAAAAGGTCCTTACCTGCCAGACGCAGATTGTTATCTGTTTTTGGCCACTTATGGTCAACGGACTCGTCCGATGACCGCGAAAGAGATAGGACGTGTGTCGGCGACTTCTCCAGTGCTTTCCCGGTCTTGGCTCTCCAGGACCCCGCATCTGGCAGGTAAGGACCTTTCCTTACCTTGCCGGCGCGGGGGGGAGCATTTTGGATGGGGACATTGTAGTTCTTTTAGAAGAGTATGTTAATAAATGCTCTTGGACTCTGCCCTTGCTCTGGTACGTGTGTCTTCTCTTTCGCTATATTCGAGAGAGTGAGACAAGGTAGACGATCATTGGCACCGACGGAGGTTACCACCGACGGAGGTAACCGACGGAGACCCGCGTCAATGAAGCCCTAAATGTCGTCTATATTGCCGCGGAGATGTGGGGACTGCGCTACTAGGTTTGACGTCTCCTTTGAGATCGCCGCCGCTGTTGAGAAAACCCTTTGGTTACTCTATTGGTACCTGTGTTGGTAGCGAAATCCCACACGTACAAAGCAGATATTTGAAGATTTAGACTTCACAGGCCTACGAATCATAAGGAGGTATGCCGCAAGTTTATTAATCAGTTAAAATTTTGGTTTATTGTGGGCTGTTTAGACAGCACATGAAACCTCAAAACAAAATTAAGTTTGTTTATCAAGCAATAAAGTTGTCCATTGTGGACTATTAGGCAGGGGACACATGAGCGATGAAAACGGGAGCCACGCAACAATTTCCATATCAACTTCTGCAGTTGCTGTGACATGAACCTAAGCCATGTTGAGCACGTTTCTTTCCGAGCACCGGTGCACTACAGAGAAGCAACACACACGGGAGCGAACTTTGTGAGCGTTGCTTCTCCGTACCGCACAGGTGCTCGGAAAGAAGCACGCCCAACGGGGCCACGAGAACAAAAAGTATCAATTACGCGAAAATGCCATTCTAATTAAGGGGCCTTATAAATACATTAAAGAGTGAAAGCCGTTTACAAGTCCCTGTAACGCCGAATTGGAGCGCAGCTCTTGAGGAGGAGGAGTGAAGGGTACTGAGGGGAGGGTAAACCCCTCCTCCTTCTCCTCCCCTCATTCTTTAATATGCTCCGGGGGGGGGGGGGTCACGTGACCTCGGGGGGGGGGGGGGGGGGGGGGGGAGTGTCACGTGACTTCGGGGAGGGGGGGGGGGGTCATGTAACCTCGGGGAGGCGTGACCTGGGGGGTCACATGACCTTGGGGTGTCAAGTGGGGATCGCCTTGGGGGTCACGTGACCTTGGGGAGGGGACCCCCTGACCTCGGAGGGGTCACGTGACCTTGAAGTGACCTTGGGAGGGGTCAGGTGACCTTGGGGTGACCTAGGGGGTCACGTGACCTTGGGATGACCTTGGTTACGCCGACGGTGACGCCGCTCAAGCCGGAAACGGGCGCCTAAGAGCTGCGCTCTAAAACGTAGTGGTACAACCCAAATTTCGATTTTTAATGCAAAAGCATTAATTAACTATCCCATGGAGTGGAGTTGGTGGCGTCTGTAACCGCGAAAAAGCGCGGAAGAAATGCCCATCCTCTCATTGGCTGAGCAAAACTGCGCCTAGATAGCCATTGGCGTGCATCTCCCGAGAGCGCATGCTCGGCCGCTGCTCTCATGTCAGGTGTTGCCGGGGGGGGGGGGGGGGGGGGGGGGGGGGCTGGGGCCGCTTCTGCTCTTCTCAGCGCCGAGGAACGTGGCGGCGCCTAAGGCGGCGGCCGCCGCAAACTCGGCAGAAGCGAAACATGGCCGTCCACGCCAGTACATCACAGACGAACTAAGCGAGCGGAAGAACGATATTCATGCTTCCGCATTCAAAAACTCGTAAGAAGTGCTTAGGTGTTCTCTGAATATTTTTTTTTTAATTATACAGAAGTATGAAATATTTAGGTTTGATTACCATGAGCTTAATGTATACACAAAAATTACAGCCTACGGTATACACAAGAATTACAGCCTACAGCATACACAAAAATTACAGGAGGACACTTAAGCTTTGCCTTAAAGGGACACTGATACCCTCCAAAAACAAACTTTCATTTTTTGTCAGGCGATTCATTATGGTGTCGGAAGACTACCCAATTAATATTTTGCAACAGTCACATATATTTTTATTAAAGCCAAAAAACGCAACTGCTCAAAACCGAAACTGAAACCCGCGCACGGAGGTCAGAGAAGTGGAGAGGAGAGCGTGGGCAGAAGTCACGTAACTACACCCGACTGTGCGCTTTTTTTTTCTTTTTTTTCCCTCCATTTTTTTTTTTTTTTTGTGCTTAGCAGATGATACACGTGATGGGAACTGTTTGTTGTGCGATTCCTTTGCAGCTATGTTCATTCCGCTCGCTGTTCTGTGCTTTAAGATGAGTTGTTTTGTACATTGAGAAGTTGGAGATGAGTAGTGAGTGCCCGTGGTGAATTTTCGTGATCAGCTCCGAAAAGAATACCTCCAAGATGTTGCGTGAAGAGCTGCCTCACATGTCCTGCGTCCGAAAAAAGTTGCATTGTGCGGCAGAAGTCTGCACCGAAGGATCAATGGGATCGAGACCAATGGCTGGCTGCAATTCCTGTAGAACAGTTACGGGCACCTCGGAAGGCGGAAGCTACCCGATTTATATGCTCCTTGCACATTGTGGAAAGTGATTACATTGAGTTCGCAGGTGCCAAAAAGGAAATCCCATATTTAACTCAGCAACATTTCGTCCACATTTTTTTTTTTTTTTTCAGTGATAAATATAAAAAAAGAAATGTAAATATTGCAAAATGTTTGAAAAAAAAAAAAAAAAAGAAGAAAAGGTACGCCCACACTGGGGATTGAACCCCGGACCGCCCCGCGTGTGAAGCTGAGATCTTTTCACTGAGCTACTGGGATTTTTTTATTTTTTTTTACTTATTCTATTGAGCTACTGGGAGAACTCTTGTTAGTAATAGTGGAGCCGGTTAACTGTAGGTTGGAAAATTTGCTGCCGATATTCCTCCAGCAAAAGGACTCCCGGGTCGAGGTCGGGTAGCACCACACATTGACCCCATTCGCACCTAGTAAAGAAATCGTACGAGGGCCTATTCAAATTGAAGTATGCACTTCGTGCTTGACGATTGCGTGAGCGATGTCTTCAGCTACGAGAAGGGGACGACGGCTCGACGACGTCTTCGTGCAAATCAGCTTAATGGTCGAGCGTGTCATACGGGATGAATACCAATTCTTTTTATCGGTCCCAAATTTCTCTTTCAATGGTAGACTGAATTCGTCGATACTGCGAACAACAGTTTTGAAGCAGAGGTCATCGCTGTCGCCGCGAGTCCCACGATACGCGAAACGACGCCATGTTGAAAATTACGCAGTGAATGCACAGAATGCTTCTGGTTCTCTGTGCAACTTTTTTTTAGAGCGCAGCTCTTAGGGGCCCGTTTCCGGCTTGAGCGGCGTCGCCGTCGGCGTAATTGCGCGGTGCATTATGGGTAAATTTCCCCGCTAAATCTAGCAGAAAAATTTCCCCGCTAAATCTAGCGGGAAAAATTCCCCGCTAAATGTAGCGGAAAAATTTCCCCGCTAAATCTAGAGGAAAAATTTCCCCGCTAGATTTAGCGGAAAAAATTCCCCGCTAAGTCTAGCCAAAAAATTTTCCCGTTAAACCTAGCGGAAAAATTTCCCCGCTAAATCTAGCGGAAAAAATGCCCTGCTAAATCTAGCGGAAAAATTTTTCTGGGGGTCACATGACCCCCCAAGGTCACATGACCCCCTCCCCCCGAGAACAGGTAACCCTCAATACCCTTCCCTCCTCCTCCTCAAGAGCTGCGCTCCAATTCGGTGTTACAGGGAGTTGTAAACGGCTTTCATTTTTTCAATCAACCTATTTGCAGCTTTTTAGAAGCCACAAAAAATGGGTTTCAGATTTTTTTTCTATTTTTAATATTGAAGGCCTTGAATGACCCACGACTTTGATTAAATTTGGTGATTGTGTCTAAACCTTAGAAAACGGCCCGTGTCCACAGAAAAGAGTCAGAGCGACTAAAACAAGCCAGTTCTCGATCAGCGGTTTTTGGGCCTAAAGAAACCCAAATTTCGAGCCGTGAATTCTGTTCTGGGTAGTTGGGCTCTCGTATGTCATGTACAACTAAAAACCTCGGTGAGCATAAATACCCTGTCAGTGTCCCTTTAAGGGGAAATGCAAGTAAAAAAACAATTTTTTCAAGAAAAAAAAAGTGATTTTTTGTTTTTTAGTGTTTTTTTTATCTTTGAACCTTCGTCTTTTGCGTATAAAAAAAAAATCAAGACTGGAAATCATCGCGGAACTAGTCAAATATGAGTTTGAAGCCCTTCTCGCGATGGAAAACAGCACAAATCTGAGCCATTTTCAAGCGCTTGTTTCTTGGGATCGTGGCGTCGCCCGTCATCATGTTTATTTCGGCACGTAGACCTAGTTGTTTTCATTCCAAAACTGTCGTCAATAGTTTCGTATTTTGGTTGTAAATAACAAGAAATAAATGTTTTTTTTTCCCGCTGGAAATGCGTCGCCACTGGCCTTCTAAATCACGTGATGCGATTGTGGCCCCGCCATTGGCCGAGAACAACGTGCTGCGTGGTGAAGCTCGCTTGCTGTTTTAGTGTCGCGCTGCTCCTGAAATTAGAACCAACTTGTTCGATCATTCTGCCTTCGTTGCGATAGACGTTGACCAAAAACGCGACTTTCGAGCTCAGAAGTTTTGGATGACACACAAGTTCAAAAGAAGTCACCAAAAGGGCAAGCGGAAAGCTTCAAAGAAAAAACGTTCATCCGCGGCAGCTAACCCTAACCTCGGTTGGGGCGACACTTCCGACTATGATCGCTCAAATTTCATCGGCAGAGCTGAAGAGTTCGTTAGTGAATTGGAAAAGATCAGGATGTTTGAAAGCAGAGAGAGAGCTGGAGATGAGCATGCAGGTACTGCGATGTGCGAGATCGGCGCAATAAAAGCTGTCGTCATTGGCGCGGCATGCTCGACACGAAGAAAGCGCAGACTCGCCGTCCAGGAATCGGCCACTAAGCGAAAGGGACTGGCATCTTTTCTGGAGGTGCGTGCTGCCAGAATGAAAAAAAATTGGGTTGTGTGTATGTTTATACAGCCTAGAACTTGGTCTGCCTCACAGGGGCGACGAGTCTCCCAGCTGTAGATGAGCAATTTAGCCAGTGCAGTAGAACCGCTAGCCTGGGGTCTTTAACGTGCACCACGCAGTAGTGATACACGACCGCACGCCGGTACGATGCTCATCCAGATCGAAACGGGCAGGGGTGGGGCTCGAACCCAGGATCCCTGGGTTCTGCAGCGCGAGCTTTCGCTCCACGTGCTCCGAGCTGGTGTGCGCTAGCCCACTCGGCCACCGATCCCCCCCTGCCAGAATGATGCATGCCCTACGTCCGTGCTTTCATCAACCTATTCTTCGAGGCATGCCTCTGCGGCCGGGAACGTCAGTGGAGTAAAGTGTGGCAAGACCGGAAATGGCAGCTTCCGGGACAGTTGCGCCATGAACACCAAGGCAGTGGTTGCATGTACTGTGGAGCCACATATGGTGCGGGACAGTTCTAAACTTCTGTGCCGTCTTGCAAAGTCCTGGGCCGGTTTGCTGATCTTGCAGCCGCGGCTGCGGCTGCGGCCAAGAGGGATTTTTCTGTCACGTGACCAGCTCCATGGGGACAAGGAAGTACCTAGCGTCCCTGCCTAATGGTGGATAAATCCATATCGCTTCAAGCACAAAAGCCTAGTTTCGCTCGCAGAAACTGACTGCAGGGACTTTCAACTGGAGTCCAATTGACCGCCCCCTTATACTGTAGGAGCGGCAGATAAAGTTACGGCCAGGAAGGGTGAAAATGAGCCAAAATAAAGAAAAAACCACTCGAGATGAAAGCGGTGGCAGAATATTCATATGCCTCCGCCTGCGCCGGCGTCATGCGCCTTCTACTGCGGTCGAGAGGTTAGAGCGCCGGTACTTATCGTCACGGCGTGAAAGTTTCGGGTTCAAATCGCACTAGGAACTTTTTTTTGTTTTTTTGTAATTTGCGCGTGTCTTACTTTTTAACTGTGATCCTCTTTACAAATCATCCATTTGCACTGCTGCGCCTTACACGGTGTTTACTGTTAGTCCCACCTGTTCAATCAAAACATCGGCAAGAAAAAAAAAAAAAAAAAGAGGCAAGTTAACGCGCTAATACAATCATTTCATAATGTTCATTAAAAGGAAACCAAGGTAACAGCATCGGTACGGCTTTCACACAAACGGAGCCGAAACAAGCATCCTTTCCCCAGCAACTACACTTTTATGTGTTTTTAAATATACAACGCTCTTGCTACGACTCCTTTCAATAACAGGAGACGCCAGTTTAGTACTAATAAAAACTGCAGTTGTGACAATTAAAAAAAAAAGACTTTCGCAAAATAAGCAAAAAGAAAAAAAGACTAGCAGCTGTGGATGCATTGATTGAGCGAAATCCTACAGGTAAGGCAGCAAGTCAAACGTCTGAGAAAGTAGTAAAACCGAAATAAAAGAGATCATACCTTTTACTTGCATGGAATGTGATAAAAGGTATATTTTTACCCTTTACATTTTGTTGTGGCAATCGTTTTGTAATATTAGCACATTACTTGTTGAATTTTAGTTAGAATAACAGACGATCGCAACCGAATGCAAAAATGAATCAGGCGTCGACATCGCAAACCCTCTCTCTAACGCAAACACCTAAAATGACTTTGGATCAACAAATGGAAATAATTAGAGCAGTTGGAAAACGGAAACAACAAATTTTAGAGAAATTCAGCAGCACAGTTACCTGGCGAACGAAGAGACAGGCATAGGAAGATATTGTCAACTTTCCGCGGAGTGTACGGCAGATGCAGGAGGCGTGGCGGAAGTTGGTAAAGGAAGCCAGGGACATGTATGCGCTCTTCCGAGGTCATGAACAACGAACTGGTGAGTCAGAACTAACCGCCCAATGATTTTATATAGCTCATATGGCCTTGTCTACATTCTTAGTGAGAGTGCAGTCAAATAGAAAAAAAAAAAAAGAGTTACTGACGCGATTTGAACCCGGGACTTTCACGCCGCGACGCAAGTACCGGCGCTCTAACCTCTCGACCACAGTAGAAGGCACGAGACGCTGGCGCTGGCGGAGGTATATAAATATTCTCCCACCGCTTTCATCTCGAGTGGTGTTTTCTTTATTTTGGCTCATTTTCACCCTTCCTGGCCGTAACTTTATCTGCCGCTCCTACAGTATAAGGGGGCGGTCAATTGGACTCCAGTTGAAAGCCCCTGCAGTCAGTTTCTGCCCAATTTCTGCGAGCGAAATTAGGCTTTTGTGCTTGAAGCGATACGGATTTCTCCGCCATTAGGCAGGAACGCTAGGTACTTCCTTGTCCCCATCGAGCTGGTCACGTGACAGAAAAATCCCTCTTGGCCGCAGCCACAGCCGCGGCCGCAAGATCAGCAAACCGGCCCTGGCATGCATTGCGGTCAAATTTCATGTTAACTAGGCTGCTCTTTTACTAATGTACATTCATGATAACATTAAAAAGTGTTTTTCTCTTTTTGTTGTTTTGAGTCATCTCCAAAGTTTGTGCGCAAGATATTTTGTATTTCACATAGTCCCATCCCAAACAAATTTGGCAAGCTTATACTCTGGGGTGTGTAGAATACAACTGTCAAGGTTCTGTTACAATGTACATCACTATAGTCATACAAGTCGCAAAAAATAGTTGTCTGCCCTTTAAACATGGCATTTTCGTTATCTCCAATTTTTTTTTTTAGTAAAGAAGATTTTACACACATCTTTCTTGTTGTTACTTGCAATCAGTGGTCTCCAGGGATCAAATTGGCCTATTTTACAATGCTCTTTCATACTTGTTGCAATGCCCCACAGGTGCCCAATGATACAGGTTATTTCCTATATGTACTGCATGCAGAACATTGCCAAAAGCAGCTGTCGAAACTAACACAAGATTTAGAATGAGGAGATCAAGCCGTATAGACAGTGAAATTTTCATTAAGCTACTTTAAATATAAAAAAAAGTTTTTCCCTAGGAACCTGATAGCTAGATATAAACCACCGCTCGTACCCACGCCTTGCAAATGTGTCTGCGTGACCTAGCGAATAGCGTGTCCGGTTCGCGACCGAAGGGTTATGAATTTGAATCCCGCCTCCGCCTAAAATTCTTTTAATTTTTTCTTTAAGGCAAATAAATTAATTTATAAAGTGAAATCATTTGAGACATGCTGCAACCTTTAATTCACATTACGTCACGTTTTAATCACTTTCATTCCACGCGTAACATCACGTTTCATGTGAGCGTTGTGGGTTGTTTGAAATTCCCACGTGAGGTCATGTAAATGTGACGTCATGACCCGGTCGACCAACCAGAATCTTCCCGTCCAGCACAGATGCCGTCTTTTCTGTGACACGAGCTCCTTAAAGCTATCACTTTAAAAAGAAGCAAGAAAACATCACCTTCCATGCCTAGTTCTTTCTAGCTCACTTTGCAGGAAAACACCGGCACTGAGCGTCGTATAACAATAAAGTCTACGAGCACTCAAACAACTTCAACTCGTTGCAACGAAACAAACATGTTGCTCTCCTTCTCTCGGAACCACCGATGTGCCTACCATTTACCGCTTTCTGCTCCCGTCTTCACCCACCCGAAAGAAGGGGCACTCACCCACTGGCAGCAGGGTGGCATTGAAGCCATAGCCGCTCTCGTATCCCGCGGTGATGGGGGAGGCAAAGCGCACCGTCAGCTTGGCATTGTCCAACGCAAGGTCGTTGGGGGGCTTGTCGCCCGAGAGGGGCACGGTCTGGTTAGCGTTCGTGAGGTAGAGAAAGTGGCCAGCCCTCAGGTCCAGGGAGCTGAAGCTGAGCACGAGGCCACCGACGCCCTTGCCCTCGAACGTCCAGGTGCGGTTGCTGTTAAGTGGGTACTGGTTCGGGAAGCCCGGCGACTTGAGGTAGTAGGGCACGTTGTGAGACAACTCGGGCGTCATGGTGCCACCTGTTTGGTTTAGAAGAAAGTGAATGAAAGGAAAAAAATTGGCAGCTGTATTTCTATCCATCGAACAAACCGGCACACGCAGCGATATATGAAAAACGGTGGGTTTTCGTGACATTTTATAGTGTTTACAGGGCAGGGGCATCGGGGGGCAAGCGTGTTGGCGCATCGCAGCTCGGAGCACGTGGAGCAAAAGCTCACGCTCAATCCCCACACCCGTCCGTTTCGGTTTGGATGGGCATCGTACAGGCAAACGGTCATTTATTGCTAGTGCATGATGCCCGTTAAAGACCCCAAGCTAGTAGCGGTACTGCACTGGCTAAATTTCTAAACTGCAGCATAAACCAGTGTTGCCGCACGTCAGAGGCAGACCCACCTTAATGGCCGACCTACAGAAGCAAGGAAATCTGTTCCCAGTTTTCTTCTCTCCCTTCCCCCCTCTTCTCTCCCCGCAAAAGCGGGTCTCTGAGAAAAAGAAGGAGGCTTTCCTTCTTTCTCAAATGAAAAGGAGGAATTGAGGAAGTGTTTCCTCCTTTCTGGCTGCTCGTCAGCCTTGTCGCTTCACTGCAGTACACAAGAGCACAATGAGACCAGAACAAAGCTAACTGGACCTGCCAAAGGAGACTACAAAAATAAGAGAAATTGCTGAATTTCCGAGTACTGCGGTGTTCGACACTGACAGAGAGATTGACTGGAACAGTACATCATTTACAGCTATACTAGAAAGTTCTGAAAATTCGTACAAGCCTACCGTAACAATGCGGACGTGTGGCGAGGTCTGCGCCGTTATATTTTCAGTATTTATGAATCGAAATTAACTTTTGGCGCAATGTAGGCACAACTTTCTCATATTTTGGGCTAAAGGTAGCAGGATGAAGTAGGGTAAGCCCTTTGGCGCAGTTGGGCGCAAATGGCGCAGCAATCGCATAGCTGCAAAGTCAACTACCGGTACAGGGCATCTACCAAATTGCCTCTCAAATTCTCCCGACTTTTCCAGATTTTCACCAAACATTTTAATTGAATATTCTGACTTTCGAGCACCCAAAAACGGCTATTAGGGCACTTTGAAGCACATCAACGTAAAATTTTGAGCACTTCTGAGCAGCTATTTCAAAGAACTTTTGAGCATGAAGTTGTTAAATCTTATGATCACTTAAATTTAGTTAGAATTTTAAGATTTGCAAACCTCCTACCAAGCTTTTTTTTTTTTTTTTTTCAAACCTCCTACCAAGTTTTTTGGTTTTTTTTTTGCTGCAGGCAGTATAAGTTATTTTGTAATGTTGTTCTTTACAGGCTTAACTACAAACAATTTATCTTTCATACAAATGCAACATGAGGGATTACTAAAGAACTCTGTCTCATATAAAAACGTTTACACAGCTGTTGATGCAACCTACTGCATTGTTTATTTTGAACACACATAACCTATCAAAGGCCCGCCCCTAAAGCTTTTGCAGTTTTTCGTTCATGCCTTTCAGCTCAGTGCTGTTCTCGGAAAGGTTTGCGTTTGCCTCAGAAAGCAGCACCTGCCCTGGTTGACAGCACAGCCCTTCAATTTGCCGCGGCTCAGGTTGTGTGTGGCTAGAATAGGTGGCGCAAGTCGCCGCCTAATTCAGCCAGCCAAGCAATTTGGCGCGAATTGGCACAATATGGCAGATTTTTATCGGGATGGTGCAGAAAATTACCTTTGGTGCAAAAAGGCGCAGGAGTGGAATCACTGAAAGGATGGGGTTACAGCGGCTGTTCCCATTGAATCCGGTGAATCGGGTGGTGGCTTACGCCACCTGGTGACGCCTCAGGCAACTGCTGCTCAGTGTCGGGGCTAACCGTGCCACCGCACGCCACACCCTCCCTCTTCTGTGTGTCGCTGCGCTGCCCACGTCCCTCGTTTTCCCCCACTTGGCCCACTTTTTTACGATTTCCCCGGAAATATTGGGCTCCCCAGGTCCGTAGACGCCCTGCCCTTGTTTAAATCGAACCACAACCGTACCTCCGTCACGGCATCTTACCAAGAACGGGAGACACTGAAGCAGAGACGAGGGTGCCATTGCCACGGGTGCAAGCCCCGCGGTGAACTTGCAGTAGCGCGCCTCCCTCAGATTCCATCTCAACGGGAGGCACCGCAGACCCGTTCACGACCAGCAGCAACTTTGCCGCGGTCAACGTGCGAACCGTGAGGCTGTCGTTGGTGGAGAGGCTCAGGTGGTCCAGCGTCAGTGTGAACTTGCCTGCCCCCTTGGCTGCGCATACGAAAGTGGCAATGTAATAAAGTGTAAAAATGTCATCTTCTGAATGAGGATGGCTAGTTGGGCTAGTTGGTTTTGCATCATGGTGTAATACGCCAAAACAACAGGGACAGACAAAACGAAGGTAGAACTAGACAGGACGCGGCGTAACTTTCAACTGAATTGTTTATTTAGAAGACAGAATTTAGGAAAAATATAATATAAAAGCAGGCACACGTGGCAGAACAACAGATAAGGTCCAAAAACACACCCCCCTCAAATGCCAGTGTCATTGGTTCTTCAAATAGTAGAATTCTTTATCAGTCAATGACAAAGAGGGAGCGCTTATGCAAGTATTGTCGTGGTGGGACCTAATCAGGAAAGCTTCATGAATTTCTCTTGCCGTTTTTGTTTTATAATGGCCCATGACACAGGTGTCACCAAAGATGGGGCTGCACTTTTCAGAGTTGGGCCCGCAATCGCAACGGTCACAATGAACCGCTAAGTGCATCTTCTGGTTCGCGCTCTCCCAGTGTTTCATGAGTTCTACTCTATGGCCAAAGTCAATCAATTTTTGTTGTTGTTTAAGAGCGCAGCTCTTAGGTGCCCGTTTCCGGCTTGAGTAGCGTCAGCGTCGGCGTAACTGCGCGGCGCATGATGGGTAAATTTCCCCGCTAAATTTAGCGGAAAATTTTCCCCGCTAAATTTAGTGGAAAAGTTTCTCCGCTAAATCTAGCAGAAAATTTTCCCCGCTAAATCTAGTGGAAAAAATTCCCCGCTAAATTTAGCAGAAAAATTTTCCCACTAAATCTAGCAGAAAAAATTTTCTGCTAAATCTAGCGGACAATTTTCCCCGCTAAATTTAGCGGACAATTTTCCCCGCTAAATTTAGCGGACAATTTTCCACGCTAAATCTAGTGGAAAAAATTCCCCACTAAATCTAGTGAAAAATTTTCCCTGCTAAATCTAACGTAAAATTTACCCTGCTAAATCTAGTGGAAAAATTTCCCCACTAAATTGAACGGAAAAATTTTCACGCTAAATTTAGCGGGAAATTTTTTCCGCTAAATTTAGCGAAAAATTTTCCCCTAAATGGGGGCGAGCAGGAGAGGAGGAGGTGCATGGCCCCCTCTCCGTACCTTCCCCTCCTCCTCCTCAAGAGCTATGCTCTAATTCGACGTTACAGGGAGTTGTAAACGGCTTTCGTTTCTTTTTTTTCACCAACTTGACCGACTTTAGAATGAATTGAATTTGTCTGCTCCTGTTTATCCAGGCCCATGTTTCTTGCGGTCATTTTTTGAATACTGTAAACTATTTTCGCGGGCTCAAAATTCAATGCATTCTGGCAAGCATGGAATTCGTGAATATTTTGCGGGCACTTATATTTTGCAATTTAGAATTGTATGTAATGCGTTTGTTACTGTGGTGGTGATTTATTTATATGGTACCATAGAATACCGCACATCCGCCCATTCCACATTAAGCACCCATTCCCAAATTTGTGCAAAATACATTTATACGTAAAATTGATGACCGGACAAGCACCCATCCTTCATTTTTGTGATTATCTTTAAAGTTTGAGTGGGCGCTTGCCCGGTATTTTACGGTAAGTTTTATTCGGATATACTTCAGGTCGCAAAATTCTAAAGAAAGAGTAGGTTCCCACAAACATATCTTCTACGGTACTGTGAACTCAAGATGCTCCACCACTTCTGAAAACACATATTAGTTTTTGTTAGTCTGCTGGAGTAACAATACTCATGTGCACGTGCCTGACTGAAAGGACTTCTGCCTTTGAACTTGAGGCCCCAGAGGGCCTCAAGTTCAAAGCACGAGATATTTTGCCACGCTGCACCCGTGCTCCGGGGAGGAAGCGTGTTCAAAGCGTCTGATCAATCGGTTTATTATATCTTTTCTTAAATTTCAATAGCAGTGCATGATTGAAACATCTCATCGAAACCGAGATCCTTTTGAACCAATATTTCCCTGTAAATATTGGTTTCCTTGAACCTGAGATGTTTTACGTCGATAATGAAGTTTTGCTAAGTCTGTGCCTGTTCAAAGGCAAGCATATAGTACAAAAGTATTAGTCAGATAACTTGTAGCCCTTACCAGATGGAGGTTTGACAGCCCAAGAACAATTGGAATTGCAGTTCCCAGCCAGAGTGTAGAACCCGCTTGCTGCAAGGGTGGTCAAGTGGCATCCTAAAAAATAGACAAGCACATACTATATAACCACCAATTGTCATTTCAAGCACATGCACAAGATACTAAAACACTACTGGAAATACCTTAGAAGTGCCGACTTTTGTACACTGCTCCTCAAACTTAACGCCGTCACTGGGTTCCCAAACATTGAGCTCGTGTTGGCTACTTACTGTTAAAATTCTTACTAAAACGTTAGGGATGCCTTCTGAGGATGGGATAGAAATTGGGAACCCAAACATTCTTCAGATAGTCCAATCGGCCGCCGCAGAAACTGTCAGAAACGACAAATGCCGCGGCGGCATTAAGTTTGACGCGCACTGTACAAGTACCCACTATTAACGTTTCCCGAACCTGGAAAATCTACAAATTGTATGTTAAGTGCTCACCCCCTCCAAAGCGCCGGCATCAGCCTAAAATATTCACCCAATTGCAGCGGCCTCGAGACAGCCAGCGGCGATATTGTGTGAAAATAAATGTGCTTTCTCCAATTCCTTTCACTCTGCCTTCAAAGTCCTTTATTGGCCGCCATATTGGCTTTTGCCAATTTGACCGGACGAGTGCCCATGGAGAGGTCTGCACGGGCCGATACGATACTTGGAAACCCAGCCCAGCCCGGACCGCTGCCTCCTGGGACTGAACCCGCCTGCGGCCTGCTATCCATTTCCGACAGCTAGCCCGGCCCGGCACTGCCCGACATTAATTTTCACGAGCCCGCTGAGCCACGCTCTATTTTAGCCCAGTATGAATTGCTCACAAATTGTGTGGCAAGGCAGCTCGCTTGCCACTGCTACAAATATGTTGATTATGGTACCTGATGGTCAATGCAGTAAGGGTCTTTATTTTCTCCTTTTTTTTTTCTGCTATTATTAGTTGGACCAAACTGTGGGGCAGCTCATTAACAAAACACACCCTGATCGTCCTTTTATTAAAAACAAATACCTCCGACTTGCATAACAACACCAACAATTTATAAGACGTTTCGTCTCCTATGCGGGAGACATCATCAGTGCGGCTTAGGAACACCCTTAAATCCCGGCTCTTGGAACATTTTTGCGTCCTTTCATGCCAACAAACCCGCACGGAATGGACGGAAAAAACAAAAATGACAAGCAGCAGTGAACAAAACCATGTGCCAAAGTTGAAAAGAAAGGAAAACATTGCGACAGGTATGGACAAAAGACAAAGTTCCAAGTTGCCCACTCCCGCTGCACACAACCGAAAAAAAAAAAAATAAATAATATAGTTGTCTTTTGCGGTGGTCCGAGACAAATTGTTTAGGAAAAGCACCCCTCAGTGGGCACGTGTGCATGTTGATGGGGAAAAGCGATGGTACGATGGCAGTGCCGCCAGTGATGAAAAGGAACGCCGTGCAACTAGCACTCTGGAAGAGCATTAGCTGCACACACACCGAATCATACAAAAAACTATACACACACACACACATGCTTTCAGCGTTTGAGTCCCCCCCCCACAGTGGTTCCTCTCCCGACCCTCCTTCTCCTCCTCCCCCAAACTCCCAAAAAAACATTGCAGCTAAAAAAAAATAAAAAAATAGCCGGCTTTTATTTGTTAGGTTTGCCTTGTAGACTTGAATGCAAGGCCCATACAAGGCTTGGGCCCTTCATGAATGTAGACGTTAAGCCCGAGCCCGGCCCGTGGTCTGGCCCGTACCAGAGCAGGTTTCTACGCCAATGTCTAGACTAACCCAGTTTTTAGTGCAAGTGGGGTGGGAGCTTCCCCAGTATTTGACGGTAATTTAATTTCAGGGGCTAGAGAGGAAGACGGTAATAGCTACTGCAAATATATTAGTTATTTATAGAAACAATGTCATCAGCTACTGCATTCCAGCCTTTTAATGTTAATGGTAACGTAGACATCTGCTGACTGTAGACAAAGAAATTTCATAAAATTTACAAGAATGGTCGAGACGAGGGAAAGTATGATGGGGAGGTGATAGCAAAGAGATGGTTGTTGCAATAAAAGCAGGCTTGCTAAACTTACCTGGCAATATGCCGGTGAAGTTAACAGGGAACGCACTGGTACCCTTAAATCCTTTGGACTGAATCAACATTTTGTTTCCTGTCGACGCCACACCATAAGCAAGCTTGCCAGCAGCAAAGGTCTCCAGAAGGGGGCTGTCGGCATAGAAGTCTGATCGAACCTGCAAGAAGCAAAGGATCAATTGTACTGACCGGAGAGGCCCGAGGTCAAACCAAGGTGAATGTATTGAATTACATCACAATCACTTCAGTAATTTAGCGAGCTCTAGCTGACACCGCCTTTTCTTGATCTGTCGGCAAGTGTGCTTCCCTGGTGCCGTGCCATTCAGAGACGCATTTGGATGCAGAGATAAATGCCCTCCAAAACACTTTTTTTTGGGAAGCACACAATGTGTGCCCCACCTCAGCAAAGTCTAGAAAGCTAAAACAAAGCTCTCCAATAAGCACACATCAATTTTCTGTGCCTTGTAGATGAGACGTCGATGAAGGCACTCAAATCAGATGATCCAACATCCTCCATGGTCCTCGCTGCTGCTGTCATCCAAAAGAAAAGTAGCAGAAGCAGTTGCATCGTGCGATTAAGGCAGCCTTTGTAATGGTCCCCAATGTCAGCAGGACATACTGCTTGACAAGAGCCGCCTCCGCCACGCAGGGACTTGCAGCTCATTTAACTCACCAGCTTAGAAGAAAGCGCAAACAAAATTGAAACCGAAGCAGTAGTTTTTTAGCTTTCCCCGAGATGGCACGTGTTCCTTCAGGCCAAATTCAGATTTCGGCGGCACAAAGAAACCAGACTACAGACGATCGACAGCCTACGGGCATGGTACGAAAGCGGTCGAAGGAGACGTGACGCGTGCAGACATTAAGAGAATATGATTACGCGTGTCGCACTCACCTCGATGGAACCCTGTTCGACCGGACTTTTCGGTGCTTCCAACCAGACGAGTTTTCCTTCCTCCACTTCCAACAAGAAAGAAGAGTCTCCGGTCGGCTTGATTGCGAAGGTGCCGTTGCTGGTGAAGTGTCCACCTTGCTCTAAGATGGGAGGGAGAGATAAGACGGGATGAGTCTGATGTCGGTCGGTGTGGATTTAGGCCCCTTCGTATTAGTTTCACCAGACACCAAAGAGAAGGGGCATAACTTCACGCTGACTGCCACCGGACTGTCTTAGCGTCGCAAAGCAACGACCGTCTGACAAGATTTATTGCGACGTAAAAATAAGAGTTGTAGAATAGAACTGATAGTCGGGCTAGTTGGTATGTATTCATAATATAAATAATGTGACTGACAAGGACGAAGAAAGACTATCGTCTATATTACGAATACATGCCAACTAGGCCAACTATCTGTTCTGTAAAGTTTAATTTCTAGTACAGGGGCTCTTTCAATGCTCCAGCGCTCATGTCGTCCAGTCTTTCTTTGTCCTTGTCAGTCGCATTGTTTATATTATGAATTTGTAGAATAGAGCAGAAAAGCATGTCCGAGAATATGCGAAAGTTGTTAAAGTACATCTGGCTCTTGATTCAAGCTGTAATGCTTAGCTCTCATTCACAAGTTTCTGGTATGCTGGAGTAAAGTGCCCTGGAATCGGCTCAGGGTCTTTAGGTAGCCAGGCACTTTAAACCGAACGACCGAAACAAGATCTGCAAAAATAAAATACAAAAAATGTGGAACCTACCGTAAAGATTGACGGTTGCTCTGAAGCTGTCGTTGGCGCTAAACTCGGTAAGACTCAATGACACCCACATGTACTTGCTCGAGGTACGGGTGACGAGGCCTGCAAAAAGTGTTAGTATTGGAGTCATACGATGTTTGTGTCATGGCACGTCTGCCAGACTTGCATTAGAAACAATGAGACAGCACCAGGGGTGGATGGATTTATGGTTCAGGCTTGGATGGAGGGGGGGGGGGGAGTCTGCTGAGATTTGACGTTGCAGCGGAAATGTTGCCCAAATCTATTTTGTTGGCTCAATATTTGCTATGTCACCAAGAACTAAACTTTTGGCTAGTGTAGATCTATTTCTTAATTTAAAAAAAGTTGACCCTGCAGAACATAAAGGGACACTAACACCCTCGAAACCATTTTTTATTTTTTTTTTCCAGGCGATTTATTATGGTTGTCAGAAGACTATTCAATCAATATTTTGCCACAGAGTCACATATATTTTTAAAAAAGTCAAAATATGCAACTGCTTGAAACCGAAAGAGGACTGGGGGGGAAAAAGAAATAAAGAAGAGGAAAAAATTACCGGAAGTCACGTGACCGTGCAACTTTTGTTTTGTTCAGTCAACGTATTTGCAGCTTTTTAAAAGCCACAAAAAATGGATATCAAATTTTTTGTAAATTTTTTAGTATTGAGTGCGTGCCTTCGATGACCCATGACTGATTACATGATCACGAAAAAGAGAGCAAGCGCGACTCAAGTTGGCCAGTTCTCCATCGGCGGTTTTCGGGTGGAAAGAAAACAAACTTCGAGCTGCAAATTGTGTTCTGGGTAGTTGGGCTGTCATATGTCATGAACAAATAAAAACTTTGGTCACAATAAATACCCTGTCAGTGTCCCTTAAAAGGGCCCCCGAAAAAAAAATTATTATTTTTTAAATAGTCTGGTTGGGACACAAGTGTCAAAAATTTAAATATAACTAAAAAAAAAAAAACTTTTTTTTAGCATGTATGACGGCGCAAGATTTATTTTAAATTCTGAGTGCAAAGTCCATGACATCACGAAATGGTCATACACTCTCTCCACCTCAACGTGATAGCCAAGCCGATGCATCACTCCTTCACGTGCCCAAAATGCCTAGAGAGGAAATAAGTGGAATTGAGGAGACTATCGACTAAATCGCATCTCGCGCCGTCAAGATTGCTCTAAAAAAATCTTTTTCGCGTAAAATTAATTTCTTGACACGCGTGTCAGAACCAGACTATTTAAAAAAAAAAAAACGTTTCTTCTCAGGGGCCTTTTATGGAAGACCATACCACCCCCAATCTACCCCTGGATAGCACCCCAAAAGCAAGCTCCGACGAACCGAGACAGTGGCTTTGTTGAAGGCGACAATGACCTCGGTATTGCCTTCCAAGTTCTAACTGTTCCTGAATTCTCACTGTTATTGTACATCCAAGCATGTCTCAGAGAACTTGGCTTCCCTCATTTGAGAAGGCACAACATAATTGAGAGACAAGGACCACTTTACAACTTTTTTTTCTTCCTTCTTTCAAGAGCACTTTTTCTAATTGTACACTCAAGAAAGCTCCTGAGAAAATTGTCAATTTAGTGTGACAGCATAAGGAGCCTCATTTCAAAGAATTGAGTCAGCATAATAAGGTGCAAACGTATTAACTGTGCTATCAAACAAAACACTCAGCAAATAAAACCTCAAGCTAGGGTTTTTTCAACAAACTGAGCATTACTAAAGCATAAGAGGAAAAAAAATAATACATTGACAGGGGACATGATTACAGGAACAAGGAACAATATATCCACTCTAAATAAGGTCACAAAAAAACAAACTGAGCTTTACTGACTGGAGACTCGACCGGAATCCGGCTGGGAAGACTGGGCCGCAAGCGGGGAGTTCCGTCGGCCACCATCTGTCGCCGTGAGCATGTCTTGAACTCCAGTGAAAGAAAGGTTGTGCACGTCCAAACCGAGAACAGTGTTGTCTTGCCCCACGAAGACCCAGCGACAGTCCACCTGCAAGCAGCGGTTCGTGTGACCCGAGGCAACAAAAGGATACTAGACGGCCTTTCGTACAACCACGTAATGTAAGGGTTTTCCGCGAAAAAAATCTAGCTTGTTTTGAACCGCAAAAAACTATGCGTCGCCAAACGCTCTCGCGCCGCTTTAATGTTGAGCTGGTGTTCTGGACCAGATGCCACAGTTTCAGAGCTTGCCATCATCCCGCTCAAAAGTAACAAGGCCTCGTAAATTTTATATGAAAAAATGGCAGCCACCAAGGCCCACGAATGCATACAGATGAATGATGTTGACCACTAGGAACGGCCCCATTTTCTAATTGGAGATTTATGACACTCACTTGTAACTTTTTAATGAAGGAACGACAAGCTCTGAAACTTTGGCACTTGCTGTGGGCCGCTAATACATCTGTGCGGACACTGAGCATTGAGAAATGCTACATAGTAGTTTATTTTTGACATTAGAAACCACCATAGATATTTTTTTTTCCGAACACCCTGTATATGTGTACTCACTTTATTAGGTTATGCAAGATTTCTCATTGCATGCTGCCAAAAAAATTATCCCAACAATAAGTAGAGGTCAAAATAAAGCTGCGAAGTTGATACTTTCAGATGGTTCCCGGACATTTCATAAACACCGTTTCATCAAACTGCTGACGGCCGTTTCATAGAATTTGTTTATCGCTAGATTTTTAGGTGTGGTATGTTATGAAAACATACAGGGTGCCTTCGTACAAGTGTCTTGTCGGTTGATGAGAACTCTTACATTTTATCACCCATTCTTTTTTTCTGTGCTTTTGAACGCACCTGACGTTTGCTTAACTAAAGGACGACACCTTCTTTGTAGCTCACGTTTTGCTTAGGTTAAAAACGAAGTATAGCCATGCTTATTGCTGAACTTGTGGACCAATGCATTCCTATTCTGGATGGTTTCCCCTTCCACGCCTTCAGAAGGCGCTATCGTCCTATATTCCCTCTCATTTACATATGTATCTTTCTACACTTGAATATGAGGGTTGGTGTCTATTCTGAACGAGGCCATTCTAATCGAGCTATATTCCCCAAACACTTCGCACTTTCAAGTAGAATCTGTTGTCGATTCGCCTATCAACGACATAAGCATAACCCCCGAAACAGAGCTTGGGCTTTCCTCGTGCTGTCTCCCAAATTTGAGGTCAACTAGAAAGAGGGCAATCAATTCATCAAACTACTGAATTAGTTTTTTTTTTTTTTTTCTTTTTTTCATATCGCTTTTAGTACACATAATAAAAGTGACCTATTTCTTCACTGAAACGTTTATCAGCCTAGAAACCCAACAAAATATAGTCATCTCTGCACCAAAAAAAAAGTTTTATAACTTAAAAGGATGGAAGTGATAAACCAGAAACCAAAAACATTACACTTCGTAACAATGAGTATAAAAAATGTCATGCGTAGTTGAACTTGTGTAAGCTATTTTACTTTGAATAAACCATTCAATGAAACGGTGCTTGACAGAACGGTTCCAATGAGACGGCATTCAATGAAAGGACGTTCTATGAAACGGCGTTCTATGAAACGGCATTCAATGAAACGGCATTCAATGAAACGGCATTCAATGAAACGGCATTCAATGAAACGGCGTTCAATGAAACGCCGTTCAATGAAACGCCGTTCAATGAAACGGCGTTCAATGAAACGGCGTTCAGTGAAACGGCGTTCAATGAAACGGCGTTCAGTGAAACGGCGTTCAGTGAAACGGCGTTCAGTGAAACGGCGTTCAGTGAAACGGCGTTCAATCAAATGGCATTCAATGAAACTCTACAGTATTTCCACACAAAATACTATTAAAAAAAATTAGGCCCCCTTTTTTTTTACATTTATCCATACTTGCCGGCACATGAATATTGTTTTCTATGGGAAAGTGCAAAAACCAGAAAGTTGCCAATCGAAAGAGTAACATAACAGTGCCTCTTACATAACATAACCGACTAAACGAGCCACAATAGCTTAAATGCATTTTAGAGAGGTGTTTAATTTATTTCAAACTTAAAGGCCCAATTAGGGCGTTATGTTTCTGCGAACGCTACGATTCAACTGCTTTGCCCGATTACTTTCAGTCATACTATTAAATTATAGAATCCTGTACCATAAAAAGCAAAAACAAAACCGCCCAAAATGCTAATTATGATTGTAAACGATTCCAGTCTCACTGCTGCTGTCTACCCTCAACTTATGCTTGCATTACCGCTAACACTTCTTTCCCCACATGGATGGACAGATATGGCTGAACCCTTTTAATCGTGCGGCGGCCTGTGCTACCTAGCAAACCCTTTTAATTAAACATTAAAATTTTATACAGTCAGTGTTCAGATGTCCACACCGTTTGCAGACAAGTGGCACGATTGTCGGCAAACGTGCTCCAGTACATTTTTCAAAGAAACTCGCACGGCAACGCACCTCTTTGAACAGAAGGTCGGCACGATTGTCTGGCAACCCGACGTGCTCCTGAGGACTCTGCGACGTGAGCACCTTCATACCACTGCAAGCTGCAACGGAAAGCGCATCAGGCATATTCTCCACAATAAGTGACGCGTGCACCCTGTTACCTTTGGTCACGTAACTGACAAGGAGGCTGGCACTCTGGTCAGCAACGCTGGTGTCAAGGGTGGCCGACAATGTGACACCGCTGCCAATAAGGTCAAACTCAGGTTCGGTTCCCCCTTTAATGAAAACAAGAGGAAAGCGAGGAGACTTTTGAAGCCACTTCAAGTGTCCAGAAGCATACAAATCCAAACAGTAACTTTCATGGTCCCTCACGAGGGGAGAACGGAAGAGAGGAGCTTCAGTTGCCCCGCTTCCAGCGCAAGCTTCCTTCTTTTCTTCGAGAATGCTTCAACGACCTGTGCAACTCAAACGCACGCACGTGCAGCCAAAATATGGTAGAAGAAACACAAGCATCCATAAAACCCGCCTTGCCGTTCTCACTCCTTTGGCGATTACATAGTGGCATTCCGCAACAAAGTATGTATGTGGCTTTCAGGGCACCTTCGAAGGAGCTCCGGTACATTTAGGGTACCGTCTCGTACAAATGAAACGGTTTAGAGCCATGTGCGATCAAAACATTACATCTTACAATGCTAGGTGCGCATTCAAAGAAAAAGTTTTTCCCAGCGCATATACACCAACTCAACTCTATGACGTCACGGCACGGTGGTGGCGCGTCGGTCGCACTTCCGGTCCGGGGCTGTGGGCAGAAGTTCCCATGCCAGACGTGTATTCCTGCGTTGTCTTGAAAGGAACCAGACAAAAACCTGCCTTCTTGTCAAAACGCCGCCACTGGGGCCGTACCAAAAGTGTCGAGAAAGGTTTGAAGGTCACTTTTCACGTGCTCGGTTCGTCCGAGAATCGGGATATGTGCCGTGAAAAGAGAAGAGCAGACGCCGCCGGACAACAATTGCTTGGGCAGGAAGCGCTTTGGGTTGAATTCACAGATAGTTGTGGCCATCAGATTTATTTGTTTTGTTCCAACATGAACGCCGGAAAACCGTCAAGTTGTGCGGACCATCTGCGGACTACGTTCAGTGCGTCTTCAAGTTGAAACGGCCGCCTCATCGTTCGAACTGTCGTCTGCTCTTTCAAACGTTTCTGCTTGTCGTCTGCTCTTTTAGACAACACCGGCCCGTAGACCTAATGTTGGCCCGGTACTTATGATAAGAAGTAAGTGCAGGCCTCAAAAGACTTAAGGTTGAAGATTGGTAAGCAGGCTCAATGTGAACAGTAGATACAATGAGATGTTGATCATTGTTATCAGTGACCATCACCGACTTGTTATGCCTAATTCACTTGGTCCGATTCTGCTTGCAATTTTCAGTATCAACGTCGACCGTCTCAGCTACGGTTCACGCTTTTGCAGCCCAAGCGGCGTCGCGAATGAAAATTGCGAGCGAAATCGCATCATGCGAATCAGGCTTTAGCGTAGATACTGCGGAGTAACGAGCGTCGTGTGTCACATTATTCACGTGAAGTTTTGCGGAGTAACGAGCCTCGGTAATTTCGCTAACGCCGCTCAAAGAGTCAGACATCGCCAGGAAGACGTAAAATCAACATTTCGAACGCGAAAAAGGGCAAGGGGACCCACGCCGACGCCGACTACATCGCATTTTAATGGTTTGTTAATGGGCGACAGCGAGCCTCTTGCCCACACCCCCATCGCGCATGCGCGGAGCCGGTGGCGTCCGCTAGGGGCGCTCCGGTTTGCTTGTAAAGATGAGTTGGTGTATATACCGTAAAATCCTGCACGAACGCCCTTCCCTGAGAGATCACCCATCTCGTTTTTCTAGCCAATTATTCATTGGCCGAGAGTTTAGAAAAAATCGGCCACCCCCATTTCCAACAGATTAACCGCGTGATTTGCGGTATCAGCATGTGTCGAGCAAACTCAGAGCAGGTTCCCTCACACAAGTGACTATAGCCCACCAGTTGGTTTTGAAGCAGCCCCCAATCCATCCAGGAAGGCCAGCTAGACTGGACAACCAGTGCTGAAGCTCATAGCCAGAACACCTACCGCGGAACATGGGTGCCTCCTTGAAGTCGGGTCCCAGTCCGTTAACAGTGACGAAGCTCTTTTTGTCAAGGTCGAATTCTCCAAATGACACGTAGGGCAGGCTATCTTGAATATCGTGGCTCATGATCGTAAAATTGCACGTGAGTGTTTTGTTAGCGACAATATACTTTGGAAATTCAAACAAGCCACCAGAGACATTGGCGGTGCAACCTGAAAAAAAAAAAAATAAAATAAAGGGCAATTGAGAAAGATTTTTTACCAAACTGGTAGATAGTACACAAAATAAATCTGTTAAAGTTTGGTCACAAAGAGTTTTTTGTAAAAGCGTGAGACAACTAGATACATCTTTCACATCCTACAGCAAATGGGTGAGAAAGGAATGGTTGTTGATTCCGTAGTTACCAGAGACAAGAATAAAAAAATTACTAATGACCAACACACACCTGGCCTTTTGTCAATTCATCTAAAAGTACAAACGACTTAATAAAGCTAACATGCAGCACCTAAGTATGATGGCTTTCACATCATTTCTGATATGTATGCACCTTCCGAACTTGGTATTAATGTTTACCACACTTTCCGAATTGCATGAGACCCATGACAGACCATTTCCATATAGCATCTTCCATCTCCAACAAGGTCTTGTCTTGTTTGTCTAATATGGGAGTTAATTAAGTTTAAATCTATGACATCAAGTTACAATGAGTTCATCTAGAAAGACATTTGCATCTATCAATGTGTGTAGGAATACACTGGAGCTCATGTCGCACCTAACATTGCTAAAAATTGGGAGAAAAAAAAGTTTTCCTCCACATTTTTCTTTGCCTTCCTTGGTTTTATGAATCAAAAAGCTTTAGGCACTGGCAACTCGAGGTGCAATTAGTCAGGTTGTGGCAGTCGAGAAAGTTCCAGACTTCAGTCAAGTAAGGACTGGGTCTTGAGAAATTGTTGAACAAGAACAGAGTTCGAAACGTGCATAATCGGCCACCCCAAGACCTAGAAAGAGAATTGACTGTTCCTACCAGTGTAGAAATGCCCAACAAAGCTCCGCTGCTTCTTGTCCTTATCGTTGAGGGTTGCAAGAAGAATCACAATGGGACTCTCAATATAAAAGTTCAAGTCAGACTCTGTAAATAACAATAAAACAAACAAGTCACTTCTTCGCAACCTTTCCTGCTGACCACAAGCACAAAAGCACGAGAAAAAAAATGGTCAAACTGAAAATACATTTTACAGGACTCAAGATATCTTCATATAAGAATCATCCCCACTCATGCTCTTGCATTAAGTCTGCATGAAAACTAGAAAGTGCTCCCACCCTCATTAAGTCACGACCATAGAGCTTCATTCGATAGAAACTAGCATATGCTGGTATCATCTGGGATCCAAATGAACACTATCAAAGGCATGTCAAAACTTGAGATAGTTTAGAGGAAGAGCCATTTGTTTTATCTATGGAAAGCACAAGATCCGAGGTGTTGTCCCATGATGACGACAAATGAGAATAGATGCGCAGCTTGACGGCAATAAACGCACAAATCATTTTGCTCAATTTTTTTTTAATGTATATTTCCACGAAACATGGCTAGCAGAAATGGCCCTTTGACAACCAGTGCTTCTGCACTCTCATCTTCAACTCAGCAACATCAACACCAACCCCGATCAAGCTGGTGCTGCTCTCTCCACGAGCCAATACCCACTTTATTAGAGTAGGGCATTGCAACTGTTACAAAAGGCCCACGCGAGACAACGCAGCCATCATAACATTACACTCACACAGCTGGCTGCGCGCATCCACACAAATTAAAGGCTGAAATGCGAGCCATATGCTCCCAACTCGTTATGGAAACCAAAAATCCAGTTCTGTGCCCTGTCCTCCTTGGCACGAGCCAACGACCAGTGTTAAGCCATCCCTTACTCTGCACTCCAAACTCAAGACCAACATTGCCACAAAGTTCTGGATTGAGAGCAGAAGTAGCCAATGCAGCCACTATACTCTGTTCCATCTCGCGACGAACTGTAGTAGATACTACAAGCCATCCCAGCCAAACCCATGCCGTGAACATATTGTGCGATTTGTGCCCCACGTAATTCTGTGCCACCCCCAAAGGTCGCCCGACACTCGCACGTCATTGGATTGGCTTTGGTGGCATCTACAATCCGCTGCGATCCATCTAGAGGTAAAACGAAGTGTGATCACTCCTGGGCCTTTGCAAGCAATAAAAGCAAACACCGGTTTACCCATAATTCAACGCAATCGTAGTCTGTGCCATTTGCCGGAATTTACTCACCGTGCTGTTCTCCTGTTAGATTGAGGACCACAACGTTTTTGGGGGTCTTCAAAATGAAATCGTCCCCCTCTGACAGCGTCAACATCTTGAAGTGTAGGAATATGCCGTGTTCGTCCATCGACGAAAGGGTGAGCGAGTAGGTGCCGTTGTTTCGCGAGCACGAGAACTTCTCAACTTGTTTTGTCGCATTTGCGACCAGCTCCGTGCAGTTCAGATCGGCGTCTGAGTTCATTAAGGGAAGAGAAACCCATGTGTCAGTCGAGAGATGCCCACTGTCAGGAGTATGGTCGGCGAGCCAACCTCACCAGGAGCAAAGCTCTTTTGTTTAGGAAACGGGGGGGGGGAGGATAATGAAGAGAACTTACGTCCTTTGCCGACCGCATCTTGTGCCCTTGTAGAGCACACGAGAGCCACGAGAAGAACTGCGAAAGTAAAAGCATGACTGGTAATTGCACTGTTTGTGTGAAATGCTGCAAGACTGCAAAGAATATGGCAGACTTACAAAATGCTGCCAAAAAGTCTTGCCCCATTTCGAGCTGCGTCTGAAAGGACAGAACAGCCTTTTGCCTCGAATGCCTCCCCATACGGCCACAACATAAAAACAATCAAATTCACTGCATCTACCGAAGGCCCATTGCACACGATTTATGCGTGCTAATGCCTCGTCATCATGACCTACGCCATTCATTTAGAATTTGGATACTCTATGTCTGCGAAGGCATGAAACTTCTACCAACATGTTGACAACTGCTATGTTACATCTCAGTAGTTGTGCACAGCATTACCAAGGGTGGAGAGGTGAAAGCGCAATCCAAGCCGTTGAAGACGAGGTGAAGAAGGAACTCCCCTCTTACCCCAACTCTTTTTTTGTCCCCCTTGGAGATTAGCCTGTTATTCAGAGTTCACACAAAAGTGACTTTCCTCTCTTTCCCCCCCAGTGGCTTCCACAGCAATGCATGTGACTAGTGAGATGGAGTACAGGTCTTTGGACAACATGGGAATGCTGCTATCTTCGGTGCAAGCAGCACTTGCCTAATTTTTACTGTCAGAAGCATGGCATGAATAGGTCGACTCAATTTTCCTGAGAGAACATGATGCTCATGACTAAAATCGGTCCAGCAAGTAGACAGGTATGCAATTGCACAGTGCTGGGGCCCAGCATTTTGAGGAGAGCTATGTGCAGTGTTATCAAAGGCACAGGTGCTAAAACATGCAGTTCCCTGAAATGATGCCTCAACGAACACTCACTCGTGCAAGAAAAGCACTTTGTACCCTCGCGCTGGTGTCTCCGACAACGTAGTAAAGAACTCTTTGTGCTAGTGAACTTTGAAATGGTCATGTTATCTGGCCTGCCCACAGCTGGACGAGGTCAGTCGATTAACTGTTCGACTTTTCCTTGTAACCACAAGGTCTTTGCAACCTCACATTTTTGTTTGGTAAAAGAAAACTCCCAAAAGAAAACTTGCCCGTTCGCTTCGTTGAACTTTGTTTTGGGTTTGGTAGGTCTTGGATTTTGAATGTAGAGATTCACTTTGTGCATACACATTTTTATATGTTCATTTGTATGATAACAAGTTTCAATCGTGATGTAGACCGTGCCTGTAACAGTACTTACGTCTCCTATTCCTTCTTTCTGTCTCAATCTCAATTCTCTTGCCAAAAAAATAAAATATTCCTGCTTCTGAGCGGCGTAGAAAACCAAAACGCTCCCCAATGAGCTTACAAAGGGAAAGGAAGGTCCTTAAAGTGCAACTCCGCTCAATTCCAAAGATTTCGGAATAGTAAGCGATTTCACATTAAAAAGCACTAACAAAATACACTATGTCTTTTGCTTCGCGAAAAATGGGATATATACATAGTAGTTAAATCTAATTTTAAACAAGAGCAGAAATCGAAACCGAAACTTCGGCTCCGTCTGGCAACATTGGCTTCGGGCCGCCAAGAAGTACAGGGGGATATGGGTTGGGCATCTTTAGAGAGTAGAAAAGCGATCAGTCAGGTAAACTCTGAACAAGGACTAGCTGAAATTGAGGACACATGGTGGGCAGGAAAAGTGTACAAGTATCTGTGTATGAAAAGTCTAGACAATAAGTGGACAAACCGAACCTGCAAGCTGAGATCTAAATACCTTCAAAGAGATGGGGCCGATTAGAGCATATCAGTAGAAAAGGGAGTAAAGGAAGCTAAGAGGAAATTGTGGGAAGAGATAATGTAGGAAAAATCAGCTTTAACAAAATACAGGGCACAAAAACAAGAAATAAAGAAGGAACAGTTGTATGATAATTCATTGGGGAGCTCATTGCTGTTTGAAGCTAGGACAGGCATGCTAAAGGCTCTGTTATACTCCGACGTAACGCGCGCGCAAGAGAACGCTGGCCGAAGTCGGCTACGTCACGTCAGTCACGCCGCACGCGTCAAAAATTCGACCTCTTTATACTCCGGCGGCCCTGGCGACTCCCGTGGGTGTGCGTCGGTGGGCCGCCGGCGTGGCGCATGCGCAGAATCTGACTACGAGGGCACGTTTCCTGTAAAAGTGCGCCACTTCCGGTTCCTTTTCATTTCGAATAGCAGACGAGAATGCTCGCGCTTCTTGAGCGCAAAGTTCGAGCGATGGTGTGGACGTACCTTGCACGACGAAAACTCGCACTTGCACTGCACTGTTGGTGCACCGCCTGCGCCGCAAGCGTAGGCGGTCAATGTACATACGGTACATCTTTGACAAGCGCCCGGTCTACGGTACTCAAGCTTCCTCGTGTCATAGACACATGAGTGAGGACGAATTCCCTCGATCAGCTTCTCGACGACCGAGATGTCCGATTCTTCAAACATGACGCCACACGGAGTGGTGCTCCTGTCGTCTGCTATTGCTCGCATTCGCCGCGCTTCCCGCGCGACGCCCGCCGGGAGCCAGCGCGTGATGCATCCTGGTCCGGCGTCGCCGGCGTGGCCGGCGCGGAATACCGCATGCTCCATTTTGGCGTCGAGGCGGTCAGGCTGCGTCGAACGCCGCCGGTCGCGTCTGTTACGCCACGACGCCGGAGTATAGAGCGTCGGGTTTTCGCCGACGTGACGTCGCTGTGACGCGCTCGCACGCGCGCACGCGTTACGTCGGAGTATAACAGAGCCTTAAGAACGAAAAAATATAGGGTTGAATTCAAGGAAATAGACACTCCATGCAAAGTATGCAACTGCAGAAGAACAACTATGGAACATGTAATTTAAAGGTGTACAGGGCTTCGCCCCACCCCGTTGGGGGGGGGGGGGGGGAGGGGGGGGGGGGAATGACAACCGATTTGAAGGGGGCACTGGGATTTACAGACATGGATGGACAAATGAATATTGAAAGAATTGTGGTAACTAAGAGGAGATTGGAAGATTGGTGGAAAAGATCTAGGGAGGGTGAAAATACAGATAGAAATAAGCAATGGAAACACTTTAAGGGGGGGGGGGGGAGGGTTGTGTTAGAAGAAAATTTATACAAATTTTAAAGGGATGACGAAATGTTAGGCTAGGTGGCGCAAGCTGCCGCCCGTTGCAAAGGGTATAGCCATTACTATCCATCAATCCATCCAAAATATGGCTATCACGTGGTACAAGATGTCACTCCTCTACAGAATGATGGGCGGGACTGCGGCAAGCGTGTGACAGGCGCAAGCGTCATCTGCACCGAACTCTTCACCACATTTTGATGTCTACGACATTCGACGATGTCTGCACAACTGCGGCATCAATCTGCGCACATAGTGTGAGCGAAACTCCGAGAGACAATTATCGCGAACAGTGAGAAGACGACGGGAGTTGTGATGCGGGAGACAGCCGTAACAGCGGGACGCGTCCCAAGCGCGCTGCGCAGGCGCGATACACCAATCCCGTGGACACCGCCGAGCACCGAGAGGTAACGTTGCTGACTTCACCCGTTACACTTGCCCGGAGAAGTAAAAACAAACAATTAAGGGCAATGGTGATGACATTTAGCTCAATGTTGGCTACGCCCACGCCATATCCTCGATTGCGCTGTTGGTTGCGGCTCAATTCGCTTGCTAAAGTCAGCCGATTTCGGCAATTTGGCAAGTTGCAAAGTCTGCCGGACAGTTTAAGGAACATTTAGACGAAACTAGGTTGTAATATTTGACGTCTAGTCTTCCTAGGTGATACTGAAGAGGACTGCATTGTCTTTTCAGAAACAAAAATGAAGAGTTGCCCTATAACCAGGCCCAAGCAAAGACATAGCTTAGCAATAGGATGCCTGATAAGACCCTTCAAGTAAATACAAAACAACGCAAAAAAGGACAGGCAAGAAATCAAAGTTGGAGCGAGCTACCTTACAAAGTCATGAAACATCCACGGTAGAGTGCCTTGGATAGTTCTCATGCCATTATCACGACCATTATCACAGTACATCAAGTCCAGTATATTCTGGCGTTAGTTTTCCCAACTATCCATAGATGGTGCCACCATTGTGTTGTTCTGACTTCTAAGGTTGAAATCCATGTGTCTATTCTGGGGTTTGGGAGTACAGAGCGCGACACTGTTAGCGCGAACAAGCGATCGCCGGTTTTTTCAGTTTTTCTCCTTTAAACCAAGGGATGTCATCCAAGGTATTAGTGCTATGGAAAGAGCCCACCGATAAAATTTTGTGTTCGCTAATATTATTTAGAAGTAAAATGCGAAAATGCGCCGATGTCGTGTTCGCGCTAACAGTGTCGCGATGTGTACATAAAAATTAGCAGTCAACTCATCTCTCTACTTGCAAGTTGCAGCTGGTTGTCTTTTTCTTGGCATTGTTGCACTGGGTCGCGACAATGCGGCCAAATGTGGCAGCAAGCGCTTCTTCATATCCCGCAGGTAAGCTTGGGCTCTGTGCCTCCTTATTCATTTTCTATTTTTTTTTTTTATTTCTTTTGAATTACAACATAAAGCTAGCAAGAAGTCAACAAATGCTGCACGCTACAACTATTGAAACCCCTCCGCAAGATAGTTTTCTGGTAGCTGAAGAGTGGGGTGTGGCGGTATGCAGTACTTTTGTTGGGGTCCCTCAGCAGGTGGCCTGTCTACTCCATTTTGAAAAGCAAATGAAGGGGGACAGATTATGAAACTTATGATTTCATAACCAATCTGATGCAGTCAGTTTTGTGTGAAATAACATTGGGCAAGTGGGAAGAAATGGACATGTGCCAAGAGATGGTGTCCCTCTAAAGAAAACACAACCTTGCAGAAATTGTGTTGCTAAAAATTCTGAGGTAGTAAAATTCACACGAAAAAGATGAGTCACTATTTTTCTGTGTAATTATGCTTCGCCAACCAGCCGTTTTGTCTACACTACAACGGTTCCTGTAGGGCAGGAGTCTCAAACGTGCGGTCTGCGATTCTCTGGGATGCGGCCCACAAGTGTCCTATGGCTGCAAGCTCCCGTCTATGCCTCGAGCACTGCATGCAACCTAAATAATAACCTCTTGTAGTTCATTCATTTTCACTAAAAACGTAGCCGACACGCCAAAAAAAAAGTTTTGTTTCATGCTAGGCGTTGAAATGGCATATCAGG